CATTAGAATAAAACCATACTGGCTAACTAAGGGTTCCATTTAGCTATCTGATTTTTATTCAAGTTTTACCATGACATAAAGATATTCTATAGCTATTCCATAAATCAGAATAATGTTTGAGTTCAAAAAGGTCTTTTTAGGTTTAAGTAGCTATATTACATTCCTCTTCTCATCTTAGCTTTTAAAATAATAGTTTTAGATTATTTTGCTGCCTTCTTTCCATCACTTCAGAAATGAACTAGTACATTTAATAATGCAATTATTAAATATTAATATGAATAAAAACATTTTCATTATAAAAATGATTTGTTATTGAATATCTGGTAGCTAAGAATAAAAAAGAATCTTCCATCTATAGACTGTATTTTTAAGTTTTAGGATCACAAATGAATCTTATGCAGATGAAGATACAAAGGTTCTATCTTGGCTCCTTTCTAATTATCCAGAGAAAGCATAGGATGAAGGATAAGAGGAGACTGGGAACGTGAAGAAACACAAAGAGGAGCCCTAACAGCATTGTATACACCCAAGAGAAACAAACTTTAAGTTTCCAGAAACAATTGCTTGCTGTCTGGGAGATGCTCAGGCATCAAACAATAAAGAACAGTCAACAGAGGCAAGAGGCCGAGCACGCTGCTGTGATTCCTTCTCTCTAATCCCTCTGAGCTCCAGTAAAAAGGCCAGCTGTTGCCACCTCGCGTAGGGAGTCAGCAGAGCAAATTAACTGCCGGTATGGGGGAAGTTGAGGATATTGGAAAATTCTAATTTACCAGCCTCTTTAGTTATACTGTTTTTAACACTAAGGATATCAAACTATACCATTACAATAAGCCTGTACAATGGAAACCCGAGTAAAGAAATTTATCAATGTTGACACATTTCATTACTAAATATGAAGTAATACACTGAAACTTGTTAGAAAACATTTCAATGCTCCCAATCTACCTCAACAAAAAGCCTACATTTAGAATAATGGCCACTTTGTTCAATTAAAGATTCCATATCTGTCACAGCTGGACTTTAGGACTCTAAATATGAACACAAACACACTAAAAAACTGTCTGAATTTTGGGCAACTTAAAGGCTACTTAATTATGCTGCAATTTGACAGAGTATATCTGGAGATATATTTATAAGTCATATAAAGAAAATTAATTCATTTAATCTGTTTATGGCTTCACATATACTTTGGAGTTCTTTGACCTAGATGTTCTATCAAAGTTCTCATATAGTTTGAAAGCTTTTTAAATTATAGGAAGTACACAGGATAACTGTGAAGATGAAAGTCATCATCACTAAAATGTATGTCTTTCTGACCCACCTTGTGGAGGATACTGTTAATCATGGAAGCAACCCAAAAAGAATAATTCTGTATAATTATATTTTTTCAAAGGTTTGAGTTTTCCCCTATAAGTTAGTTCAGTGCAGTATTAAAATATCAGGTTGAAAGTTGAGCAATCTAAATGATAGTTAATGGCTCTTTAATTTTTGGGTATTAACGATTACACAGAGAATACCAAGTAAAAGTTGGGCTTTAGTGAATGAAAGACAGAAACCGAAGTCTCAAGCAATTTTATAATAATGGTCCAAACACTCACAATAACCTAATTAATAGTTGATACAATAATCACAGAATAAAGAATAAAAGAACTCCATGTTGTACTGAGGATGCTTAGCAACAAACAGTATGAGCCATTGTTACCGTGCCCAGATCTCAGTTTCAAAGGAGGGATGGGGGAAGAACAAATTACAACAAAAGTTTATTAAATCTTGGGGCTGGAGTTGTGGCTGGCTCAGTGGTACAGTGCTTGCCTGGCATGTGTGAGGCACTGGGTACAATTATGGCCACCATATAAAAATAAATAAAAAAAAATAAGAGTTCATCCACAACCAAATATATACATAAAATAATATATATATATGTTTATGAAATCTTAGCATTCATTTGTTTTATATGACAATCAAAAAAATTTTAATTTATAAATCAAAATCTATTATAACAGAAAGGACAACTCTGAATTGAGCCATAATACCAATCTTCATCTTTCTAAAGAAAGTATTTTAAAAGTGGTCTATTTCAACAAATAGTTTGGTCATGTTACTAAAAATTACACTAGGAGTTAAAATGGATTCCATCTAAGTTGACATTATATTTAAAAGGTTGTAAAAAATCCTTTGAAATTAATCTTACTAGAAAGTCAAAAGAATCTCAGAGGTCATAATGAATATATTTCAATACTGGACAATTCTAAGTGTAAATAGGTACTGAAAAAAAAGGAATAAAGGTACAAAGATGAGCTGCATTCTTATTAAATTGTCCATGAAGTAACTCAGTCTTTTGATATATTCAGGTCATGTTTTCAAATGTCATTTTCAACCAAGATCCTTACATTAGTTATAAACCACAAATCTTTTTTTTTAAAAAACCCTTTGTGTGAAGATAATGTCAGAATTACAAGAGTTACAAGAACACTACAAAAACATTTTTTCCTGAAACATTACTGTCTTTATGTCCCATTACTCCAAAATATTCTATTATGTACTACCTACAAATTAGGATATTTTTCTAAATAATTCCAATTTAGTAATCAAAACTTGAAAACCAATACTGGCATATTAGTACCCAGAAATGCTCAGATCTCATTTAAGTTTCACTGATGGTCCCATTTATGTCCTTTAGACAAAATTCAAAAGTTCAGGATCAGACACTCCACTAAGTTTTCATGTCTTTAGTCATTCTCAGTTTTTCCTTCTCTCTCATGGTCCCAGTAGCTGAAGATTATGTAGACTGTACTTTAATTTGGGTTCTTCTGATATATTGTTATGACTGGATTTAACTTATGCATCCTTACTAAGAATATCTTGGAAGTGAAGCTAGGGTCTTCTCATTGCACTCTGTAAGGTGGCACATGGTTTTGATGTGAACATTACTGATATTAACTTTGACCACTTGATTAAGGTAGTGAGTGTCAGGTTTATCCACTATAAAGTTACTCTTTTCCTTAATGTATTTTCTGTGGAGATATTCTGTATGATCATAGAAACATCCTGCTACTCACCACTGATTTTATTCACTTATTGACATAACTATCAATTTATGGATTCCTATTTCATTTGATGAGTTAAGATTTGTTATTATTATTTATTTTGTCATCTAAATTGTCCCAGGTTTGGCCAGTTAGAGTCTCAACAGGGCCTCTGTGTCCTGTTGACATGTCCCCATCATCCTTCAAGCACTTCCTTACTTTTAAACCCTAACATGCTGCAGACTTATCCTGTCCTCTCCCTGCCTATCTCCAGAGATTCTCATTTCTAAATATGAATCCTCTTCTCTGTGCTTCTTGAGACATTTTTTTCCTTCCTCATTTCTTTGCTCTTCTTAACTAGCTTCATTTCAATAGTGAATATATCTTTTCCAGAATGAGGAGAAACAATGTACTATTTCTGATGGACTCATTTTAAAGTAAAAATCAATGAATCACTGAAGCAATGAAATAATTTAAGACCCAGGTAAGCTTAAGACTGGTAAAAATATGATGCATCAAAATTTTAATCATCCTCACATTATACTACTCTTCACTATTTTGAAATTATAATGAAAATTCTTGATAGCTGCTCTTTCTCTAAACTTTATAAGCTAACATACTACCCTCTTAAATGAATATGCTGTATTAGAAACTTTGGTCTGTATGATACAGTATTGGCTATTAAGCTCAAAATTTCAGACTGCAAGCATCCATGATGATATTCCCAAGAGTTACACCAAAGATAAACAATAAGGTGAAGACACTTTCAAGACTCTTTTTCAACTACTGAACAAAATCATGGCTCATCTCCTTTAGTGTGAATGATGAAGCTGAGTCACTGGTGAAACCAACCCTTGCTTATGAATATTATTTGGTACATTAACACCACTATAATTTTATATGGACAAAAGGAGCACTATGAAGCCATAGGACTACTTGCCCTTAAAAACCATCAAGAGAACTTGGCTTGATAGTACACAGAATTTGAGTTAGTAATATTCTTTCTTTAAATAATCAAACTGGGAGTGGAGTAGAGGGTATAGGATTATGTAGGCTCTATTATAAAATATTAGAAAAAAACGTCATTTTTCAATCACTTAAAATATACATGCTGATAAAATTCATTGAAATATTTTACTGTCTGATAATTATCCTGAGGGATTAAAAAAATTGTACACAATTGTGACAGTGACATATCTAGTACTAATTTAGCATGAAATTATGAACCAGGGACTTCTAAATACTTGCAGAACAAATTCTCTCAACAATCATTATGATAGCAGTCATCTTATAAGTAAAGGAGACATGACTTTGGGAGATTCTGCCTAAGATACAGCTTATAAACGCAGTTCAGATCTGAGTGCAGGTTTTCTGTGTTAGCACATACTTACCTCTAATGCCAAAGTGGCATGAGAAACCTAAATATAAAGACAGATGACTAGAAACAGAGATGTAAATGTGTGGATGTGCATCTGTACATGATTAGATGTACACAAACACAACAGTATTTCTAACTCTCTACACTGAGAATACATGGGAATTGTGATATTTCAATAATAATGAGACTATCCAGTTCTCAGATCTTGATTTCTAAATAAAAATCTCTAAAAACTGAAAGCTGGGTTAGGGAATGAGCCTGGAACATTTTGCTATCTGGAAGGATGATGCTGGGACAACAAGTAAAACTTGAACGGAGTCTGAGAATTACATACAGCAATGTCTCAGTATTAGCATCCTGATTTGGGTAGTTGCTAGAAAATCCTTGTTTCTAGGAAATACACAGAAAGTACTTGGAAATGATGGGACTTTAAGTCAGTTTCTTACTCTGACAGTTCCAAGAGAAAAAAAAACAAAGTTCCTTGTGGATAGATACTTTAGCTTTCCTATAAATTCTAGATTAAATGGAAAAACAAAACAATGTAAAAGGTGAAGGGGGAATAGGAGGTAAGGTAGGGAGCAGGAGGATCTACTTACTGAGGTCTTCTGCCAGTTGAACTCGTTTGCCAGTCAGCAATTTAACTTTCTTCTCATTGTCTTCAGCAAAATCTTCCAATACCTCTTTAACGTTTTTCTCTAATCGCCTAACTGTTCAAAGTAAATAAAAAACTTGAGGAGCACTGTTTTTATGATGCAAAGAATGATAAAATTAACCATACATGAAGAGTAAGTCATTTTTTAATCATTTATCAATTTTTGCATAAAGAAGGTAGATGCTCGGTATGCTTTATCTCCCAACCTTTTTGAATTACAATTTATTTTTACTATTTTCGGGGCAAATTATAATTTTCAGCTTTTCTAATCAATCTCTTTTTAAGGAAGTATTTTGGAATTGTTTTATTAAAAATGTCAAGTTAGCCGGGCATGACGGTACATTCCTGAAATCCCAGTGGCTCAGGAGGCTGAGGTAGAAAGACTACAAGTTCAAGGCCAGCCTTAGCAACTTAGTGAGACTGCAAGCAACTTAGTGAGACCCTGTCTCAAAAAAAGGTCAAATTAAAAAGCAGTTTCTATGTGGCTTACCTTCAGTATTTGTAAGTTGTTGTCGTAGAGTATTTGCAGTGATAGCAAGCATGCGCTGTATTCGCCAAAACAAGACCACATCATTGCATTCCAGCTGAAATATTAAGTAACTAAGATTAACAAATAAAAAGTAAAAATGAAAACCATGACTGTAAATATAACTATCAAAATCAGTATTTATCCTAAGTTTTAACAAAATATACTTCTTTACTGTAGTTTATATAAACTACAGAATTTTTTCTATACAGATTGATAAGATCTTGCATGATTTGGATTCTATCTCAACCATACCTACATAGCTTTGTTTTAATTTCTATGAGTAAGCAAATAAACTTGGTAAGTAGAAAATTTCATTGTGTTACAAAAGTAGAAATTCATAATGTATACTCTCAATTTATATTTAGGTTTAGTTAACAACCATGTTTGTCTTAAATATGTCCTTAAGTTAACCTCTTTTCTTTGAGTGTGCAAGTCATTTTTTTTAAAGCTTATTCTATTACGAAATGTTCTTTTCAACAATTAAAGTTATGCAAGAAACTTGACACTTTTATATAGGTTCATTTAAACACAGATTTATTTTAAGCTGCTGAAAACAACAGAAAAGTGTTTTGGAGGTCTCACAAATACAGCTTTTTCAAAAGGATATTTAAAAGTACTTTTACTTATAAAAAAATGGTCAAAACACATCAGTCTGCTGCCATCTAGGGGTTACTTAGAAAAATGTTCTAAACTATAAAACAGTTTATTATGACTTTAGTTCTTTCAAAGAATCATTTAAAACAAGATTCTAGTGATATGAAGAAATAATTAAGATATATGACAGACTTCAAATAAAATTGCTTTGCTGTATGATTTCTATTATGCAAATGGATTATACTACACACATACACTCCCCAGAAAAAGTTAAATCTCAGAAGCACATAGAAATGCTAACTAAAATAACTTTCAAGTCTAAGGAGTATAAGTGATTATTTATTTTACATATTCTTTTACATTCTTTAGAGGCACTGGGAATGATACATATGGTAGATGTAGTCACTACCAAAGTAGCACATATATTTGAAAAGATGAGTTAGAATACCTTTTATAAACTATATATATTTTCTAGATGAACAAAGGACTTAAAATTCATATTAAAATTAAAGCTTAATTTTCAATATCTTTAAACAACTATTGCTAAAAAATATTTCCCTTTGTTTTGGAAAACCTTACCTCAGAATCTACAAAATGCCTTTGGTAATAATAAAAGCCTCTTCGACAAAGGTTACAATGATTTAGAGCTGTTTTTAAGAAATGTCTTCTATAAACTTGATGCCAAGTATCCTTAATCTAAAATATGAAAACAAAAATTAAAGTGTTATTTTATACTCTTCACATTGATCAATCACACCAAGAAGTTATACATAAAATTTATTACAAAAATGTTAATTAAAAGCAACAGCAAGGTTGTTATTTTATCAACCTTCTTTATTCACTTACATTGTTTTTCAAGCCAAAATTACATTTACTAGTTCATGTATTTCAAAACATGCAATGCTTTAAACAAGCTTGTTGTTTTATTCAACCAATTTGTAGAACAGATAGCGCGGGAATTATCCTTGCCTAATCAGGACAAAGGAAACCAAGGCAAAAAAGAGGTTGAAAGGCAGAGTTAGGACCAGGAATCTGATCTTGGAACAACAATATTTCTTTCTTGTTGGTGCTGGAGATTGAACCCAGGGACACTTAACTACTGAGCCATACCCCCAGCTCTTTTTTATGTTTTATTTAGAGACAGGGTCTCGTCAACTTGCTGAGGTTGGCTTTGAACTCACAATCCTCCTGTCTAAGCCTCCCGAGCTGCTGGGATTACAGGTGTGTGCCACTGTGCCCAGCTAATATTTCCTTTTTGATAATTAAACTTCACCGCTATCATACCAGTAGGATCCCTACCACTTTATTACTACATAATAGTATTAGAGCTCAATGCTTCTTCATACCTATTGTCTTTCTTTGAATATAACACGAATAATGCTAAGTAGAGAAAACAAGTATCAACAACATGTTTTGACAGATGGGCAAAGTGGGGCTCAGAGAGTTATCAATTATTAAATGTAATGTAATGAAACTGTACTAGAATTTACAACTCCTGATATCCAATATTCTTGTGATAGCATTTGGCTTCTTATTTTAGATTTTTGTAAGACATACGAAACAAAGCACCACTTAAAAAAATAGATTTCTCTTGCTTACAGAAAGGAAGATATATATATATATATATCTCCATATATATATATATATATATATATATATATATATATATATACACACACACAATCTATATCTTTAGATTTGGGCAAAAGCTTAAAAAAATCATACAACATTTTCTACTCCACTATTAAGAGAAAATCCTTCCAACTGTATTAACCAAATCAACATAAATTTAAAAGTATCAAACTGAATATAAGAAGAGTATCACTTAAGCAAAATATTTGGGACCAGACATATTTCAGATTTCAGAATTTTTTGAAGTATCTGTATACACACAACAAGGATTCTTGGGGACAGGACCCAAGTCTAACCATAAAATTCATTTATGTTTATATACACCCACACAGCCTATAGGTAACTTCATACAATATTTTTAGTGCCCCTGAATTTTGACTATAACCAGTTACATGAGGTTTGATTAGAATTTTCTTTTTGTAGCATCAAGTTGGAGCTAAAAAAGTTTCAGATTTTACAGGATATCAGATTTCTGAATTAGGGATGCTCAATCTGTTACAACTTTTTATTAATAAGAGTAAAGACCAATGTAGACAAATTAAATCTATATTCAACTAAAAAATCTCATATTCAATTTATAAATAATGTTAGTTTTATAACAGCTTTAACTACTTTCATATTGACCAGTTTTTTCTTTTCTTGTGAAATTTAAAGCAAGTATATGTATTTCTCAAGTGCAGAAGAAATATAATCTTTAAAAAAAATCTTCTGGGTGATTCTGAAATTTTTATATGACTGTTCTCCCCACTAGATTAACTTTTCTAACTGGGTTTCACTTAAGCTAATATTAAAAGGAGCTTCTGAATCCTTTATTTTCTAGCAGGAAATGGAGACCTGTAAAGTTTTATTTTGTTTTTTAAAAATTTGTTGCAAATAATCATTATGAAGGTAAGCAAAAAGTAGTCTGAAGTTTAGATTGTCCTCTTATTTATCATAAATAAAGAAAATGAGATAAAACACAAGTCTTATCCAATTCAATAAAAACATTCATATTTTTTCTAAATCTATCATATGTATACTTGACTGCAAAACATACACAATATATGTGCAGAATGAGCCATATTTAAACAGAAATTCTATTTTGCAATCTAAAACAGTGTGACGTGATGCAGAGATACGGGTCAGTTTCATCCTTTTTTGCAAGAACTGCTGAACTTGCCCAAGAAAATCCAATTTTCTAAATTTCAATTTCCTATTTATAGATTATCCTTTAAAAAGCAATACTGAGCATAACATTTCTTCACAAAATAACTTCATATAATAAAAATGACCAAGTTTTCATGTCAGCAAACGTGGAAATAAAGTAACATTAAGCAGTTAGATATCTATGTAACACATTACAAGCAATAACATTGTACTGCATAAAACAATGATTAAGAAAGCAGATTTGTATTTTTCAGCAATATTTATTACCAAGCTTGGATCTACTTCTACTCCTCGGGATTCCAGGTTCTTTCGGACGGTGGTTATCTCATCACTTGCCAGATAAGCTGGGTGTTCCTCATTACATTTCAACATCTTCTCCAATTCATTCTTTGTTTCATTGTGAACAGACTTTAAAATGTTGAAAAGAGGACTATGCTTAGATGCTTTTACTTTGGCACTTGTAAAAACAGAGTCCAATTTTAATAGGTACATCGCTATTGCATAATAGGTGACACAAGCTTAATCACAGCAAGAAAAAAACACAGTATCTAACACAAATATGGGTAAGTGATCTATGAATGCAGGGCAATTTGCCTTAAAAAGGGGAAAAAATAGGAATCAGACCTATTTATTAAATTTTACTCTTGCTGCAATGTTTTACTATTGAAGTCACAGCACCAGGTATCTTACTATATACTTCCTTTTCTCCACCTACTTTAGGCTTAGGGAAAAGAACTCTGAAAACGAGAAAAGATGATGTTCTGTAATGCCCAAGAGAACTCAGATCTGTTGACCTTTTTTTCCCCTGATTAAATACAAAATGCTAGTTTGACATTTTAAAAAAGTCTTTTCATTAAAAATCACACTTCAGACTGTTCCTGTGAGGTACTTATCATTCTTAAATGATTCACTTTCAGCCTCTTCTCTATAATTGTTCATAAAGCTCAGCAAAGGAGGAAAACAGATATAACACACATAAACACACATTATAAGTTTGAAAACAAGACTTTTATACTGTGTCAAATTAATTTTTCATTTTTCAATCAATTGTATGATTAAAAAAAAATCTATTACTCTAAACAAGTTACAACAAGACTTTGCTCCAAACTGTACCACAACTATGGAATATAAGTTTTTAAACAAGAATAACACTTTTAAATGCAACTAATTAGCTTGTAAATGGAAGTACCAATTACTACTCTCTGAAGATATGGCACATTAGGAGAAATATTAGGAAAGAGGCATTCACTGTTTGGTTAAACATTTCTATTCAGTCTGAGGTAGGAAGGAAATCTCTGTTAAAGGAGTTCCCTCTAACTCGCCCTGACCTGCATTTTCACTTCTACCTTCCTAGACATCAAGCACTTCACCATGACACTTAGTCTTCAAAAGACAACTGCTCTCTTATTTATCCTGAAAATTAATTCAGCTCAGACAGGTGAAAATGTTTCAAAGGGTATAATTTTCCTAGGAATCTAAGGAAAAGATAAAATAAAAAATACTTTTCAGAGCATGTAGCATGTATTTCTAATTTACAGGACAATCTTTTTTTTTTTTTTTTCCTTTCCTGCTAAATCCTGTTACTCAAGACAGAACTGTAACACAGCTACCTAAACTTGCAATATGAGACCTGGAGCTATTCTCAACCTCTTCTAGAATTTGTTTTCTATGGTAATTTCTGAGTGTGAGATATAGAACCAACCAGGAGTAGGAAGGATTGAAGGTCAAAAGAGAACCTGACTCACAAGTCTGACACGAGGCTATCTTTTGAAGGAAAAAACTAATATAAAGACATCTCCCCAGGTGATTCAGAAGTGTCTCCCCTCCACAGCCTAAATGTCGCCTCTGTTCAGTCAGCTGGGTACACATGTTGCCCTGTAATTTTGGGGAGAGAAAGCTCTTCTCTGAAAGGTTTTCATTGCTCATCCAGGCTTACACATCTTTTGCAATGACCTTAAAATAAATTCCTTTACTTCTCTTCCAATTCTAGTAAACAAACAAACAAAAAAAATTTTAAAAACCCTGATAATCAGGAATCTTTTCCAAGTATGTTCTGGCAAAGGATATTTACCACTAGATGCTAAGGCAAGTTCTGCTACTGTTGTCTATTATGGATATTTTAGGCCCAATTTCACCTAAGCTTGAATTGAAAATTCATTCAATTTTCTCTTGAGTTTATCTGTCTTACACCAGCACTTTGTAATCAATCAATGCCTCTTCCTGTCTCAAATGTCAGAAGCCTCTAATGGATTCCCCAGAAATCCTCCTCTGACAGATCCCCTCCTCTCAGCCCATATGTACAGGAGAGATAATTGATGTATCCTAAACACATGTTCTAATCACCCACTCTGTCTACCTTCCCAGCTTCTCTGCAAGCTCTTAATGAGTCATTTTCCACAAAAGTCTTAAGAGGAAAAAAGAGAAGGAGAGAGGAAGAGAAAGATGGGGCTGGGGGAGGGAACTGTATTCAATATTTGAGCCAAGTTGAGAAATCGGATATCTTATGAAACAAGAAATGTGAAAAATTAGAAGAAAATAGGGTGTTGATTATATAATTCAACTATTTAAGATGATGTATAAAGAACAAAGTGTATGTCCTTAGGTAATTTTTCATTATTTTTATCTCCTCTCCCAATTTTTCTACTTTTTAGTCATTTTTTTCTCTAATTAAATGGGTACAAAAAAACAAAACAAGAACAGAAAGTAGATTGGATGTTATCTTTTTCTTACAACTTCACTCATTTGTATATTTAGATTCTATATTCTATTTAGACTCATTTAAGGAATAAGTGTAAGAACAGAGGTATAAGCCTGAAAGTGAGACAGGAAAACAAGCTAAAAATAAAGAAGGAAAAAAAGTGGTGAAGGCAGGGATGAGGACATGAATGACATACATTTTTCTGCAATTTACTTATTTTTAGTTATTTATCATTAGACTTTTCCATTTTGTTCTTCTGAAGTGCTCTTTTAACGTTTACTAAAGGAACAAATTCTGTAACTATGTCCTGTGTGAATCTTTATATTACATTGCAAACACAGGAACAAAATATACAAAGCAATAAAATAATTCGAATAGATTTCCAACAGAAAAATCTAGGGAGAACAAAATACGGCAAAAATCATTATATTATTTTTCTTCCTAATCATATTCTATGCATCTTTTGAAATCCTTTTCAGTTTTTTCCTGTTCATAACTAATCCTTTTTTTTTTTTGTAGTTGTAAATGAACAGAATGCTTTTACTTTATTTGTTTATATTTATATGGTGCTAAAAATTGAACCTAGTGCCTCACCTGTGCTAGATAAGCATTCTGGCACTGAGCTACAGCCCCATTCCAATCTTTTTTTTGTTTTCTTAATCTCAAGTAGAGAACTGAAATAAACAAAGTAATAAGCCAAAAAAGAGTCATGCTTTATCTTCATTTTCTTTTATTAACAGTTACTTGACTTTTAAAACCTTCTCAGATAGTTTCTTCTTTATTTTAAAGATTCATTATATCTTAGAAAGGCAAATATAAAATATTTTAAATTCTCAGGATTAATCTAGAGCCAGGCAAAGATTATATTTTAATGCTTGAATTAAAATGAACAAAATTATATTATTATGAGACCACAGAGTCATTTTTACCTGTTCTTGGGTCCGATTTTTCCAGTATATCCACCTTTTTCTCCAGTCTGGGCCTATCATGTTTTCAATTGCATTTTCAGCTAGGAAAAAACAAAAAAAAAAAACCTTAAATTAATTCATCAAAGGACTTAAAAACAGCATACTAACAGGGACACGGCCACATCAATGTTTATAGCAGCACAATTCACAATAGCTAAACCCCGATATTCCGGAGTTAATAATTTAGATGATCTTTTTTTTTTTTTTTTTTAATATTTATTTTTTAGTTTTCGGCGGACACAACATCTTTGTATGTAGTGCTGAGGATCGAACCCGGGCCGCATACATGCCAGGTGAACGCACTACCGCTTGAGCCACATCCCCAGCCCGTTAGATGATCTTCACCTTTCTTTTTTGCCATATGAACTAACATCTAGGTTGGTTCCACCTAGATGCCCTTCAGTAGATGAATGGATAAAGAAAATGTGGTATATATACAAAATGGAATATTATTCAGCATTAAAAGAGAATCAATTCATGGCATTTGCAGGTAAATGGATGAAGCTGGAGAATATAATGAAAAGTGAAATTAGCCATTCCCCAAAAACCAACTGCCGAATTATTTCTCTGCTTTAAGCATGCTGAGCCATAATATGCTCTGTGTGTGTGTGTGTGTGTGTGTGTGTGTGTGTGTGTGTAGGGGAGGATTAAATGAACTCTAGATAGGACAAAAGGGAAAAGGGAAGAGAGGGGGCATAGGGTTAGGAAAATTAGTGGAATGCGATGGTTATCCTTACCTTAAGTACATGTAAGAAAACATGAAGGATGTGACTCTACTTTGTGTACAACCAGAGATATGAAAAATTGTGCTCTATATGTGTAATATGAATTGTAATGCATTTTGTTGTTATACATAACAAATCAAATTTTTTAAAAAAGAATTTTATTACTTAACAAGGATAAAAATTATTACTAACAATGATCTTACTTTCTTAACTATTTCATGTCAATATAAAATCAGTTGAAATAAAGGAAAAATGTTGATTGATATGGGTACATGTATAAGAAAGAATTATGTGTCTAAAATTTATGAAAAGTACAATTGCTTATAGAATTCCTAAAAGTGTACCAAACACAAATATTCTGAATTATACCTTTTTAGAATATGAATACATGTAAACATCATGTATCAAATTTATTTATTCTTTTTAGTAGTCATGAAACACTTGACTGAAAAATCCAACAAATATTCAACTATATGAATGACGAAAATCTTGAAATGTTTTATTTTTACACTGTTCACTACTGCTTCACCACTGCAAATGTTCAGAACTCAATTCAGAACCCACATTCAAAGATACTTACTATCCTTGAGACGAGCCTGAAGAGCCTCTTCCATAAAATAAATAGCTGCATCCCACTGCTGCTTATCAGAAATGGACCGGTCTTCTAAGGCATTGTGCTGAATCACCCTCTGAAATACAAGCAATGAAAAAAGCTGGGTTTGACTCAATGTCTCCTTATTTCAGTAATTTCATATTAGCTTAGTGAATATTCAAAATAACAGATGTATTTAAAATAGCATAAAAACATATCCCTTCCATCAAAATGCAGGAGTTCTTTTTATTTGCCTGCTTATTTATTATCTTTCTGTCTAAAAAAAAATAAACAGTGGAGATCCTCTCCTGGCTCACATTAAACAAGTTAACTATGAATGAAGGGGAGATAAAGGTAGTGGTAGGTAGGTATAATATGCATTGAACTGCACAAAATGCAACAGTCAGAACCCCGATATTCAGGGGTTAATAATTTAGATAATCTTCACCTTTCTTTTTTTTTGCCATATGAACTAACAGTCATTAGTATTTTTTAAAAAAAGAGGAAAAATTAATAACTATTATTTCATTGTTAAAAGCAATAAAAATAGTAATAGGGTAAATAAATGCTTAAAAGACCTAGATCATATATGTTAGATATTTGTTTTAGCTGAAAATTTGTTTCCAAATTTTATAACTTTTGAATGAATGAATGCAAATGGCATCATTCTCTAAGAAACCCAGTCTTTAAAGCACTTAACAAGAATAAACAGTTTTCCCAATATAAAGACAAATATTTCTTCAAAGCAAAGTTATAATTACAACCAGTTCATGGTGAGATACATACGTTTCTATAGCACTGCTCAATCCTTTCATTCAACAGTACCTCTCATGACTCTCTAAGCATGGCAGATACTTAATAAAGGTCTGATTATGATGGTGAATATTGGATGTTGGTCAGGAACTAGACTCTGCAGTCTGAGCAGGCTCTGAACCCCAGCTCTGCCAATGACAATTGGGCTGTCCAAGAATTACATCAAATAATGCTTGCAAAATGCTAAGCAGAGCTCCTGGCACAAGGCAAACACTGAACACATGGTAAAGATTTTAGACCCAGTTATCTACACACAGGCGAATAAAATGACTAACGGATGACAATATGTGGAAGTTTACGGGAGCCCGCTTACTGCAAAGTTTGACTCATTTCTGAAATGATAGCCAAGATGAAATAGCAGAGAGTGATTTTAGAAGAGCAGAGAAATGTTAAAGGGAAGATTACAGAAAATAAATCTATTTCCTTACTTTAGTATTTTAAATTAAGAATTTAATATTTAAAAAGGCATATAAAAATTATCTCCTATGGAAAAAACTCAATTTGAGAAATCATGTTAAAAATGATGCTGACATCCTAATTAAAAAAAATGACATACCAAACTATCTTCTGCAAAATCATTCCACTTGTGGCGTTTAATACTTTCTTCTTTTACAGCCTCTTTAAGTTTATCAAATATGTCATCATGTTCTTTTCCCTTGGGTTCTGTCATGAAGCGGGAAAATTCTTCCTGTAGGGTCTCCCAAGCAACCTACAATTATTTAAAAGAAAAAACCCCTGTGTTTATACTACATACTTTAATATGAAAAATAATGAAATCAAGTCAAACAGATGTGATAAATCAGCTTATCAGGAAATGCATATGAAGGAAAGTACATTAAGAAAAAGGCAGCAAATATAAATTATGGTCTAGGTAGTGGGTGGGACAGGTTTGGCTTCCTGACATGTTTGACTATTTAGACACAGTGTATTAAATTTTTAGAAATTAGTCACCAACATTTAAAAACTGAGTGACTTCATATAAATTTTATGGACAATCTGGAAATAATATACCCACATTCCCACATGACAACACCTGGTAGAGCTGAATAGGGGCCACTTCCTTTAGATGAGGTTTGCATTCCAAGTCGGCTAGAAGATTTAGTTAACTTGTTTATCTTTATCATCATCATCATCATCATCATCATTGTCTTTATTTTGGTCCTAGGGATTGAACCCAGGGGTGCTTAACCACTGAGCCACATCCCCAACCCTTTTTATTTCAAGACAGGGTCTTGCTAAATTGCTTAGGGCCTCTCCAGCCACAGGTATTACAGGTTTGTGCTACTGGGCCTGCCTTAGTTAACTTGTTCATTTCAACCTGTAAGACAACTGAGTTTGCTGGCTTCTACACCATAAAAAGTTCAAAATTTCTTATTGAGTCAACTATCTTCACATCTTGGCCTTTAAGCAAACACATGAAAAAAAGGCATAATTACTTTCAAAAATAGCTTGAATACAAACAAGATACAAGCATTATTCACTATTGTATTATAGCTAGCTCCTAATAATCTAATAAAAGGAAGAGTACTGTATTAAAAAATAATTAAGAACTAAATCTGGTTATGATTAGGTGGGCTTTTAAATGTTGGACTTTGTTTATCACACCCTCATTCTAAATATAAGAAGTTATGGCATAAAGACAAATGATTGTCAAAAGGACACAGTGCGTTGTGAGGTATTAACATCTGCACTTCCTGACCCTCACCAGATTCATGTTCTTTCCATTGTGCCTAAGGTTAAGAACAATAAGTGGGGCTGGAGCTGTAGCTCAGTGGCAGAGCGCTTGCCTTGCATGTGTGAGGCACTGGGTTCGATCCTCCCCACCACATAAAAATAAGCAAATAAAATAAAGGCATGCTGTCCATTAAAAAACAAACGACAACAAGAACAACAACAAAAACAGTAAGTGGCAGGAGACGAAATCATGGTTTTTATGATCACTTACCACTTACACTTGAATCTTAGGAATGAAAATATCCTCTCATGGGATAGGACTCAGAAAACTGTTAGGGCCAGTAGTAAGGAGGGCTAGTGAAGCGGTGGCAGTAGCTCACCAATTTTTATTCAGGGTAAATATCTTGAGAACTGTGTGAAGCAACATACTACTTAGGCAGAAAGGCAGCAAGAAAGAGAGGCTTGAGGAAACTGAGAACAGAGTTAAAGCAGCACAGGACTGAAGCAGGACAGGAAACGGGAGAAGTCACACCTGAATAATTAGAAACTGATACTTTGTTTTCAATGTCAGTGTGAAAAAAAAATTACTTTCAATGTTGACTCTAATTTTGTGAGCAACCTCACAAAGAGTACTCCGCACAGAGCAATGTGCAGGACAGGTCAGCCTGGACAATGATGATGATCATAATAGCAGCTGCATTTCCTCAGTAGTTACTATGGGTCAGGTGTTATTTAAGAATTTTTTACATATATGAACTCATTTATCATTTAGTCCTTATAATAATTCTGTGAGGTAGGAAACAGCATCATTTCTGTTTTTTAGATGAGGAAACAGAAAGGTTAAACACCCAGCCCAAAGATCACACAGCTAAGAAGTCGAAACAAGATACACAAGTAACAAAAATGGATTCCTTAAAGTACTTTTTATAATTGTTAGTCTAATTGGCAAGAGCCTACCTATGAAAATTAATAGTGTAATTTGAGCATTGTAAGAATGAATAAATAAAATGTTTGATCTATTAAACATTTTCCTAAGTTGTTCAATATATTTCACATTCAAACAAATTTTGCTGGTTTTGTTAAATGTTATCTTTTGGAGAAGAACCAATGCCTTCAGGCAAACACCATCCCAATTAGCAAATTTTTATATCTACATTAGCTGGTAGCAACATTAAAGTTAGTTCCAACAGAGAGATGAGGAACAAAGCATAAATGAAGTATAAAGGCCAAATAGAAAAATAGTGGCTGTGATGAGAGTAAAATCTAAATTTCACAGCTCCTACTCTCTTCAGATAATGCTTCTTACCCATTTAATTAAATTATATCCTAACCTCTACTGCTTTATTTGGAAGCTGTTTATCAGTCCACTGTTTAAGCTTGATATCCACTGTGGTATTAAAAGTTCCTGAATTCATGGTTTGTGCAGCTGGAAGATAGATGTTTTCAATCACATGAGTTGATACTCTTTCCCACAAAGACTGTTGAAGGATTTCCTCCCTGAAAAGCAAAACAAAATTATAAGAACAACAAATTTAAATATAATAAGTTTCTAAAATCAGCTTGATTGAAGTATCATTAACTTACTATAAATTGCAAATAAAGTTTTGACATGTGTATGACATCTGTGAACTACAGCAATCAAGATAACAAACATATCTAATATCCCCAAAGCTGGAACCACTCTATGTACTGTGACTATGATTAATTTATACTTTCTAAAACTTTATTTTTGTCTTCTTTCACTCAACAAAATTATTCTGAAATTCATCATGTTGTATGGGTTAATATTTCACTTATTTTTATTGCGAGAAGTATTCCATCGAATGAATTTGTTCATCCATCCACCTGTTGATGGATGCTTAGGCTACTTCTAGTTATTGGTTATTACAAGTAAAGATGTTATGGGAATACATTTAAAAATCTTTGTAAGGACATACGCTTTCATTCCTTTTGGGAAAATGTCTAAGAGTGAAATAGCTGGGTCTTTTGATAATTATATGTTTAACTTTTTAAGATATCACTAGACTATTACACAAAATGTTTGCACCATTATACATTCCTACCAGCAAAGAATGCAAGTTCTATGTCCTCTATGTCTTTAACGGCATTTGGTATGCTCAGTCTTTAGTTTTGGCTATTGTAGCAGGTTTACAGTGGTATCTCCTGTGGTTCACATTTCTCTAATAACTAATAATTTTATGCATTTTTCATGTGTTTATTTGTCTAACATTAACATATACTTTATGTGTTTACTGTAGAGTTTAACAAAGAACTTTTGATATAATTTTTACAATTTATCAGACCACATCATAAAGCAAAGTGGTTTTATGGTATTGCTAGATGAAATAACTTAACACATCATGATTAAGGAAATAATATAAAAGATGCATGATCAAGTTGAAAATATTTGTAAGAAATTTTAAGAATACAGATCACTAAATAAGAAAAAGAAATTATTTTAATTAAGAAAAAAGTGAAATCTTAAGAAAATATTTGTCTTCCCTTGAACCAAATTTTACTATAATAGGATTCAAAAACAAACAAAAACTAAAGCATAACCAAATCCAAACAAATGAAAACAAAAAACCACATTGTTTATCATATGGTCAGTCTTCAGTATAACCTCAGTCAACGCTGGAGGTCAATCACAGAGCTCAGAGTGGCAGAAACACCCCTGTTGCCCAAAAGCAAAACAAAGAGCTTAGCTGCTGGTTTCACCTGGCCAATTTTAAGGTCTTTCCATTTCTGGTCAGTTATAACCAGAAAACTAGAGTTCAAGGAAAGGATACATCACTGATGCCCAAAGAACAGAGACCATTCAGTCACTGAGTAATGACAAAACGTGGATGAATTTAAGAAGATGAAAGAAAAGGAGTCTGTAAGGGATTCCTACTGAAATGCCATTTGAAATACAAATAGGAAGATGTATGAAAACAGAACAGAAGACCAGGGTACAGTCTCTGACCTCTAGGGCTTTTTTCTACTCCTGCCTCAGAACAGGTCTGATCTGTTATTTCTTTTTAGGACTCTTGGACCAAGAATCTACATCCTTGACACACTTTTGAAACTGTAACAAAATCCAGAGTACCAAATTCTGACAAGCCTACTTCTTTCCATTCCAATCCATAACAGACAGTTGCTATCACTTTCCTTTATACAGCCTCTCCTACCCTTTCATCACCAAGTTGTTGTCCTCTGTCCCAGGCTCCTACTGCTCCCCTCCATCACTATTTTTAATGTGGCCACAATATCAGTTCTATAACAAATAAGGAATTTTACACTCTCACTTTTTCGCTGTTCCTTTTATCTTTAAACCTTTCTGGCTCTCCCTTAAGGAAAGTGATTGTCCTCAAGTTTTACTGAATGGAAGCTGTCAGCAGTTAAATGTGCTTCAGAATTGGGAATTAGAAGCTATGTTTTCTTCACCCTATAATCTCTCTTCTAGATCATTAGTCCTCAACTCTCATATAAAAACTCCTGTACTATGAAGACACCCATCTGGTTGTACCCATCTGCTATCCTTCCTGTTACCATCATCCAACAATTCCCCTAGCGTGTTCTATAGATTTCTTCGTTGTAGGTTTGTCCATCATCCAGGGATACAGTCTACAAATACCCATACATATAACACTGTAGTTGTATCCTCTTTATCGCCAAGAACTTGATCTACATTTCATTTTAACTAAGAAATACTTTTTGAAGTGGATTTTTTTTTTCTTTGAAAGAAGAGGACTTATGCTGGTTGCAGTGGTGCATGCCTATAATCACAGGTTGACTTGGGAGGCTAAGGCAGGAGGATCTAAAGAAAAATAAATAAATAAATAAAAAGGGCTGGGATGTAACTCAGTGGTAGAGTGCTCCTGGGTCCCATCCCCAATATCAAAAAATGAATAAACAAATAAAATGAAAAGAAGAGAACTTACTCAATATAATAATTTCAACCAATACAGAGAAAGTAATAAGTCCCCCAAATCTTTTTTCTAGGAGACACACACTTTGTAGTTTATTATTAAAAAGTATAGTGCCTATATAAATATTGTATATGGGTGTGTGTACTTACACAAGTGGACCATATTATTCATACTAGTTTATAAATGCTTTTTACAAATCTTAATGTACACTGTATATAGTTTCCCATGTCAACATCCTGTATTTTTTAGTGGCTGCCCAGTAATCTATAGGAAAATCAAATACTATGTAATTCTGAATAGAAAATGTAAGTTACTGTCCATTATTTTTTACATTTATAAACAAAACCAAGGTGAAGATTCTTCTGTGTTCATCTTTTTCAAATATATCTTCATTTTCATATATTCCTAGTAATGTCATTGCTGGATATAAATATATTCACTTAATGAACTCTTCTTCATTAGCTACCCATCAAAACACTCAAATCTTGTCAATTCTATTTTTAAGGTAAGCTTTTGAATATCTTGAAAATGGCTCCACTTCTTCACCTACACCACCACTACCTACATTTATTTAAGCCATCATCACCTCTTATTGTAGCAGTCAACTGCTTCCTTACTTCTAGTTTTCTCCACCTGTATTCCATTGCTGTATCACAAAGATCTTTCTAAAATATAAATCTGATCTAAACCTCTTCAATGGGCCCCACTTATGGAATAAATTCTAAGCTTCTGAATATGGCTTGTAAAACTTAATATTCTGGCTGTCATCTATTGTTCTATTTCTTACTTCCTGACTCCATCTATGCTAAGCCAGTGGAAACAGCTACCTGGCTTGCCTCTCTTGCTTTTACTGCTTGGTCTCCGTGATACCTAACACCAATGCACCCATTAAATCTCTGATTATGATTTTGTAGCTCTTCAATTCCTCAAACTTGAATTAGGGGATTCAACTGTGCTTTTCTTTTTTACTTTTATTTTCATTCTTTTAAACTAAATTAAAATAAACAATACTTTTCACCAAAAATGAATACCAGAGTACCTTTTTAAAGTTCATATCTATGAAGCCAACCAACTCTCCTACTGGAAAAGACATATACTTGTTGATGGTCACATGTTAATGATATGCCAGTATCTCCTACTTATATTAACAATTGGTTCTTGAAAACCAAGTACTTTATGTAGAAATGCTGACAGTCTACAATCCAATACATGACAAATCAAAACACCAACTTTTTAAAAACACAACTAAAATACAGTTCAATGTCTACAAATGAATAAAAAAATGTTAGGAGCTAAGGTGCTTATAACACTGAAATATAAATCAGTCCTGCGATTTAAATAATTATATAGACATTAGGCATGTGTCCTAAAACATCACAAGACATTATGCAGCAAGAGATACCAATAAAAATTTATAAGGCAATATCAACCATGTCACAAAAATTAAATGTTTTCAGTGTAGTGCAGTTAAATTCAATGTGGCATAAAGTTAGATTAGGACTTGTTCTTGTGATTCATATCCTTTTAAGCTCTAGAGTCTGAAGGAAAAAAAGTCAATGAAAAGATGAGAGAATTATCTGATCTGACAGCTCACAGAAATAATTCTCCAGGAGCCAGATGTCGCAGTTCTCACCCTTGCCTTTTCAATGGTCAATCTTGCAGTACAGGTTTCTTATTCCTTCCCTATCCATTTAGCCCCCTGGTATTAAATAAATTAGATTTATCTTCTGGGTTTGCATCAGTATAGATATTCTTTGATTTCAGGATTGCTCTGTCCAACCAAAACTAAGCTTTCCATTTGATGATGCCAGAAATTAATTAGCAGAAGGATCAGTTTTCCCTCCCATAAACTAAATGATTATATGTTTTAGTTTACAAATCACTTACGAACATTACTCTCATACAACCTGACAAAGCAATTAGTTCTGTTTTTGCATCTAAACACAAATATTTATGTATCTGTTTCTTGCAAATTCAAAAGCTAACTGACTTACACAACACTACTGCAATAGGTTAAAACATAAATATATCAAACATAAGAAGTTGTATCATATATATATGATTAATAAATCAACAAGTATAGATAAGATCAGATCTCTTTTTTGGGGGGTGAGGATTAAGGAGAGATTAAAAATGGTCAAGTACTGCTAAACAGATCTTACTTATCTGTGACGCTGAGATGGGAATGGCAAACTTGAGAAGCAAGTCTGGGAATTTAGAGAGACCTTGTCTCAAAATACAAAACTAAAAAGGGCTGGGGATGTATCTGAGTGGCAGAGCACTCCTGGATTTGATCCCAGTACAGGAAAGGAAAAAAAGGGGGGCAAATATTGACTAAGAGAGAAGAAGGATCATTACTGAGGAAGAAAGGACACTGGGATGGGGAAACTAGTGAAACCAAATTCAAATTTAAGGACTAGACACTAGTGTCCTGACTTGGTGGTGAAAACCTTCAACTGAGCAAACATAGAAGGTACTAAAAATATTTATCATGAATGGTAGTAAGAATAGTTTTGCTACAAGAATGATAAATTCTTAAATATACCATAGACCATGTATGGAAAATAATTTAGGCACAAAGAATTTATTAATCAATATAATGATTGCAAAAATTTCAAAGCTACTTTTATATAGCTGACTGAGGTACATGTAGTTTATTTGTTTATAATGCCCAATCCAACAAATTTAAGAATGCCCAAATTAACACAAAACATAAACTGAAGGTGATCCTTCACGTTAAAAGAGATTCGTGTGAGAATTTACCTTAGGTAAAATGCTGCAGAGGTAAAAAGGCAAAAATAAATAAATAAATAAATAACAAATCTTGAAAATGTGATCTGTATACAATATAGCAGGAGTATGTTTAGAAAGCAATAACTGTCCTTACTCCAAAATGAGAACTTGGGAATATATACTACTTTCTCTTTATAAAACAATTTTCTCTACAGTTTTTTTTCTCTATGATTAATCTAACAACGAATTCTAATAGATTGTTTGCTATGTATATAAAGCATAATTTATGAAGACTTCACCTAAATGATTTTATAGAAAACATGATTATATATTTATTAACTGTAAAGAAAAGCCAAAGATTTAAAAGACCACGTATAAAGCTATCTTCCAGAAATTCAATGATTAGGTTACAATTGCAGACATCTTGCAAAGATATAATTTTATGCAACAATAAACACTGCTTTATCAATCTAAGTTTGCATATTTCATTTAATTCAACTAGTAACATCACTGAGACAAGGGATTAATGGCAAAGTCAAATACTCACCAATGTTTCGGTGTAACCTGGCTCAGACTGATAACTTCATCAAGGATTTCATTTTTAGCTTTTTCAAATAGTTCATTCTAGGCAATATAGATACAAGTAAGATTTTTTGCAAGACAATAAATTTGCCCTGTTATGATTTTAAGGAAACCAAAAGAAAGCCTTTGGTAGGGTAGTAGGCTGAATTTATGTATAAATATGCAGTTCTAGCAAAAATGCTCTTATAATCTATTTTTTTGATTTTTTTTTTTAGGAATATCATTATCCAGATAAGGACAAAAAAAGTGATACGAATATTGATATAAATGACCACCTTACTCAGTTCCAAATGTAGGTTTTCATTAGCATTTTTTCCCCAAAGATTTCCATATTACTGCTGTTATATGAAACAAGATTTATCTATTTAGTGTAATAGTAAATAAATGTTGGTTGGTTGTTTTACAACAAATAGTATTTTAATATTAAGGAAAAACAGTATTCAGTTTCCACTAAATTAGAGTCTACTTCTCTAAGGTAAAATGCTGAAAGGTAATTTTTAAAAATTTTTGATTACACTTTAAAGAATATTCTTCAATTCTCAGGACATTTTAACACTTGTTTTGATATCTTATGATACCTAATTACATTATGAAATACAGTAAACAATTTATTTTAGAAGAGATAACTGTGTCTATATTATAGTCCAAACCAAAGCAATTTAGCTAATGAGATCTCTCATTAACATCAATTCTGTTAGAATACAGTAAATTAAAATATCTACAAAATATACGAGGTACCATATATTACCCGATCAAGTTCTCGCAGCCGAGGATAGTTATTCTTCCACTCAGTTTCAAGGTTAAAACGTGTTGCTGAGGAAGAAGGAAACTGTTTTAAGTTTATGATTCTCATTTATTTATTTATTTATTTCTGTGTCGTGCTGAAGATCAAACCGAGTGCCTCGCACATGCTAGGCAAGTGCCCTACCACTGAGCGACAACCCCAGCCCCATGATTCTCTTTCTTCTCAGTTGTAATGGTGAAAGGCTATCTTGCATATCTTCTGTATCAACCATATTTCTGAGGGTGCACCTATGATTCCTTAGTACTCTGGGTTCTTAACATCTCAGAATTTTATAATTGCAATAGTTATCTAATATTTTCTTTGATTCTAATTTTCCCATTTCACAAACAGGTGCAGCAGCTTAGTATGGCCGCTAAGAGAAGGATCTGGAGTTAGACCACTAAGATTTAAATCCTCAGTCTAACTGCTATGTGACACCAGTTGTGTAAATTACTCTGCACCTGTATTCTCTTCTGTGAAATGGGAATAAAAATAATACTTAACAGGTTGCTCAGGTACTAAGTGGGATAAATATATAAATTTTCCAAATGGGAAAAGAGAAGACTATATTCTCATCAGGTGATGCTATGTAAGGAAAGACACAGAGCAGTAAATTGTGGGACTAAGAAAACAGGACAATATAGCTGAAGCACAGGGTGCTCTGCGTCCCAACATGTTTCCTCACATTTCTTTATAAAGAGAGAATCGAAGTTCTGTATAGTTTAGTAAGTAAGCTTCCTCTCAAGCATGACTACAAACTTCTTGACTTTTTTAATACTCTGTAATGGCTCCTAGCAATGTTTCTTCTCAAAGGGAAAATCCCATAATTAATGACACACCAAAGGTTTGTGTTTTTCCATTTTCCACTTATTGTCTAACAGTAAATCAAGTACAACTTCTAGGCAACTATAAAGAAAGGGAGTGAAACATGATGGATGCTGAAGATTGCCAGCTAATAAAATGTCTAAATTTGTTTGCTTATTTTAAAAATCCAACTTACCCTTAAAACTATCAGCCTGTTGTTCAACTGACTCTCGTACCATTTTCCAAAAGCAGTCTGATACAGCAAGGCTTAAATTTCTTGTAGTCACTTGGTGTGCCTTTAGCATACTTGTCCTATTGAAACAAACAAGGGCTAAAATATATTCAAATGGTAAAGGGACAATAATACTACCACTATCTTGGAGAATGCACCTGTGTGTTATGAGAATAGCCACTTATATCTTTTATATAAGTTACGACACTATCAAGTATGACTTTCTGTGGTGAAGGAAAAGTTCCACAACTGGGCAATCCAATAGAGTAACTGCTAGCCACACAGGGTTACTGAGCCCTTAAAATAGTTGGACCCACTGGTTCTCTACTTGTCCAGTGTCAAAAATCCTTTCCTGAGTGTGATAAAATTTTTAATTTTATCAAATATTAACTAATTTAAATTTTTAATAATTGCAGACTAGCAACTATTGTATTGACAGCACAGTTCCATGTCTGTCAGTTCTTCCCAACAGACACTTCTGTAGGCTGTTGGCAGATACACTATTCTATTTCCAGAAACACTCTACGTATAAAGCTTTAGTATAATAAAATTGCCCTTTTAGCTTTTCCTTTTTAGTCAATACCTCTATTAAATTCTGATAATACTTATTCAGAGATATTCTTTTGACATCCTCAGTTCAACTTTCCTTAATACTTTAAAACAAAATGTGAACACATATTTTAAAAAGAAAATGCTAATTTTAAAAAATCACTTTCTAAGTGAAATAACATAGGAGGTGTGAGTGCTGTCTTCCAGTGTCCACATCTTCAGGGGCAATTTACCTTCCCTGCATCTGCATACTATGTGACAAACTGTTCCCAATTCTGTCGGAGTAGCTGAAGAACTTGCTTATTAGATACAGACCACTAGTTGGGGAAAAAAGTCCATGTTAAATTAATAGCTACAAAACAATGACTTTTTAAGTGAAAAGATTTAAACTATCCTCTCACTATAAATTTTAAAATACTTTTGCAAGATACTTACTTTAGAAGTTTTGAATTCTGAAAAAATTCTTCTTCATATTCTCTTATAGCTTCAATGCTTTCAGAGCTATTTCCTAAGGTAAAAATGATGATCAAATTTTCACCAAGGAAATTAATCTTTATTACTTGAAAAAAAAAAAACTGAAAATGAGTTATAATAATCCATCTTGCATACCTTTTCCTGTTACAACAGCAAAATAGCCCAGAGCTTTCATTGGGAAGAGCTTTCCTTCAATTATCTGTTGAATCTGTTTTTAAAAGTAGGAAAAATAAATGAGATAGAAGCTTACATAATTTTTAAAAGGATAATACATAATTTAGAAAGCAAAATAATTTGTGATGCTATACATGTTGAGCAAAATATATTAGTATGTACAAAAGCATTTAAATGTAATTCAATTCCTATTTGAGAAAACCAAATACATTTAATTTTACTATTAAAATGTCTTATTAAAACATATGCACTGAAATTAAAACTTGGAATGATTATGTAGTGCTTTGGAGTTAATCTCTGAATTCCTGCTCTGCCACTGAACAACTATGTAGCCTTAATTTTTTCAAAAAGGTTGTTGAGATTATGAGATAATACAATACTCTGCATAGGCAAAGAAAAGCACTCAAATGATAGCTTTTTATTATTATTTTCCCAGTGTCTTCAAATATCTAACCTCTAAACAAGCTGGATTGTCTTCTTTTAGTCTTTCTTCTTTCTCCTTCCCCCACCTCCTTTTTTAATAGTTGGACCCATTGGTTCTCTATTTGTCCAGTGTCAAAAATCTTTTTTCTGAGTGTGATAAAAACTAGATGCTAAACCCAGAAAAGTATATATATGCACAGAAAATATAAGAGTTTCTACCCCTGAGGCCCATTCAGATGAATACTGGGGTAGGAATTCCTCTTCTAAGACTCATTACAATCTAGGCTAATGCTGAATCTTTGACATGAAAAAGAACAAAATAAACTTTAATTCTATTTCAAATGAAATTCAAACTGACTATCCTACAAAGGAGAGAAAAAAAAAAGAAAGGTCTGGAGAGAAATGGAGGACACAGAAATTTGTTTCTACTTTACCTCTCTCCTCTACATCAGGACCAATACAGCCACATCAGGCCTTACTCTTAAAAATAAGGCACAGCGGAGGTCATGAGGATATGGAGAGTTAATACAGCAGGACTGCTTCCTTTTCCTGGCATCTGGGAACTTAACTGATAAACAATCCCCTATACTGATATAAAACTTACTCTAAATGAAAGTGGCTCTTTGTACAAGTAATGTGGTTTGTGCTGAACAATGTGCCTTCCTTGTGGGAGTCTGGAATTTTGGTACATGAGGATGTCCATCTGACAAGCATCTGACAAAAAACCTTAGGTGTGAAGTCTCTAACGAGCAATTTGTGGCTGCCAGACTTCCTTTGTATCCTTTCACTGTAATAAACCTTAGGTGTAAATATAACTATGTGGTAAGTCCTGTGAGTTCTTCTATAGAATCACTGAATCAAGGGCTGGTCTGTTTGGGAGACTCCAGATACTGAGGAATAGTCCCAGAAGGTGTAAAATGGGAAGGACACATTCTATGAAGTAGCAGTGGGGCTGGGTACCAAAGTCTAAAGCTGTTGTCACACACGGGTAGGACAATATTACTCAAAGATGATAGCTTCCATGTATATAACAAACACTTCTGTGCCAAGCATTATTCCAACCATTTTACCATATTTATTAAACTCATTAAACCTTCACAACCTATGAGACAGTACCATGAATATCCTCATTCCACCAGATGATGAAGCCTTAAGCTCTGAAAAGTTAAAAAATGTACTCAAGATTACACAGCTACAAATGATAAAGCCAGGATTTGAAGCTAAGCAATCTGGCTACAGATTCTATACTCTTAACACAGAAGTTTCTGTCTTTGCAAGTAAATAGAGAACATCTTTAAGAGAAGACTTGAACCCTAATAAGACACACAAGGAGGGGGGAGAAATAGGAAAGCTGTTAACAGATTTCAATGAAATTATTCTAAACATATTTTTCTAAGATAAGAGACACTTGAATACTACATGTAGAACTCACAGAATTTAAAAAATGAAAATGATCTTAGATCTTATCTAGTCAACTAGACTAAGCTGGATTCTGGATTGACTGGATACAGAAAAGTGATTAAGTTTGCCTAAGACCACACAACCAGTTGATAGTGGAGCATGGATGAAAGCTGGGAGCCTGATGCTCAATAAAACTTATCTACTATACCACGCAGTCTTGATGAATGAGAGAAGGTAATCCTTCCTACAGTAAAATGGCATATGTAAGATCAAAATAAATCTATACTACCACTGATTTGTGGAAGAAAGGAAGGGAAGGCAAACATTAGCAGTTTAAAATATTTTGTAAGTAAATTAGTTACAATATACATGGAATTTTATTTATATTCCAAAATTACACTTGAGTAATTTACTGTAATTTTCTGATACTTCATTTTAAAATAGGAATCAAATCCCACAAATGCTAACAAAGATTAAAAAATAAAAAAAAAATTAACTAATCCCTATTACAGCTAGAGCTATTATGAAGAATCTGTTTTTATAATAAACAATTTGCCCTTACCCTGCTTGGACTAGCTACATTCTTCTCTGCCAGGTCTACTTTGGTCAAAACAAATATGGTTCTTCTTCCATGAGGATCCATTTGACTGACTAAGTCTGTAACAATACTGCGTTCAGCATCCACAGATCCATCTGAAAAGTTGAAAAATGACACTATAATAATTGCAAAGTAAATACAAACTATACCTTAATGTCTGCTTTATAACAAGAACCATTTTCTTAATACATTTACCTTACTTATGAAAGGAAACTCTGAACAATAAAAATTTCTATGATTCCTAGAACGAAAAATATGAAAATATCCTCAACTTCAATTCTATATGCAAATAAAATGAAAAAAAAGGAAAAGTAAACATCTATTTGTCTTGTACATTTACATAATGTGCATTATTGGGGGTGAAGCTTGGATTACTAAAGAAAGCATATCAATGTAACTACAATTGTTTAGTATGATTTACCTTGAATACACAGTATGATGGCATTAGGATTCTGCATGTAAGCTTTGCTGATACTGAAAATAGTTTCCTTTGTGTCAGGAGCCATGCCTGATGTGACAGTCTTGAAGAAAAAGGTTTTAAATGTCATTATAAATGTTACCCACAATAGAAATTTAAAAAAAAAAAAATCATGTTTTGTCTATACTTACATTTATCACACCTGGTAAGTCGACGAGCACCATCCTCTGTAATCCAGGGCCTTTCACATTTAAGGATATAGTCTATTCAGGAAGAAAAAACATAAATATGGGGGTGGGGGCGGATTGTTAAGAATTTTTTTGGTGCTATATATTCTGAAAATTCAGCATCTCATCCATTCAGATGAAGTATTTGGAAAAAAAAAAGTTGTTCTAATCTTAAAAGTAATTATTCTAGAATATTATCCACAAAATGATACATTATTTAGAATATTTTTCAAAAAATCTCTGTATCTTGGGACAGCTATAATCAAACATCAATAACAATACTGAAATTTACTTGAAACTATAAACAATGCAATTCTATAAAACATTTTGAAATAAATTGCAACCCTTACCTCAGGGCTAACTGTACAACCTTCTTTCACATTTTTCCTCATTCGAAGTTCTATTTCATGTCTTAATGCTGCAAGCTGTTAAAGGAAGACAACAAAATTCAAAGAAATATTAGTTCACAGATATTCCATTTAATTGTCTTAAAAGCTCACAGGGCTTATAAAGTTACACACATAAGCCTTAGATGAATTCTACTTACATCTTCCTCTTTGGTAAGATCAAACTCCCGAGAACTATCTTTAAACAAGGCCACATGGTGAGGACCTTCACTTAGAGTCACCTGAAATTATAGAAAACAAATAACAATGATACATTATAGTTAATATTAATTTCTACAGCACTTACCTGGTCCAGCCAGAGCCACTGCATCACACACATCTGACAGTTCTTCACACTAGAGCTATCACTCTGGCAGTTCTGTATTGCTCATGTATATATCATATGTGTTGTGATTTTCCAACAAGATTACTGGCTACTTCATATCTTGTAACCAAATGCTCTTCCCCTTTTCATTCCTTAGTCAATGTCATGAAGAATACAGTGAAACTTGAAAAACTCAAAGAAAGGACTACAATTAACTTCAAAGGTGAATTCAAGTAAAGGACAATTCATTTATTCAACATTTATGCTTATGACCTATTTGTCAAGTGTTGCAGTTAAGAAAATACAGTTGACTGGCCCTGTCTTAGGCCTCACTACATAGTAGGAGAAATATACATACACAGAACAGAGTGGCAAAGCCTAAGGTGCCACAGATAAGAATGGCAATGATATTAGGAGAGTCTGAGAAGCTTTACCCAAGGAGTGGCCCTTGGACAAGGGGTTTTATAAGAACTTCTAAATTTCACATTCCTTAATTTAGCAATTATACTTTTCACACTTTAATTTTACTATTTTACTTTAAAAATACAACTCCTTCCACTGACAGTAACTACCAGGTTAGATTAAAAAAAAAAAAAAATAGCGCTGAAAACAACAACGGCATATCCTGGACAAAGTCCAGGATCCCAGGGGGATTTGCAGGGGATTCTCCTGCAGCTGTTTTCCATCAGAGCATTTGTTGATTTGTGGCACAGGGCAGAGGACAAGAAAAAAGCCTGAAACCTGCAGCAGTTTTGCTGGATTAACTAGACAAAAACTGGAGTTCAGGTTTATCAAGTAGACATGATTCCAGAGAAAAATTAACTGCAAAAGTGACACCCCGACAAAACTAAGCCCTATATCCTGTGCACTGTTTGCCTTCAAGACATGTGCATATTAGAAAACCAAGCAGAAAGTAGCAGCAAAGAGACTAAAATGCTAAGTCAAGACTTTGCTAATTTCACTGTCCTGGGGAGACAAAAATATGGAGTGCAGGGTCCATCAAGAAGGAGAAATCTGGAAAAAACCTGGAAAAAACATTAGAAGACTAGTGGCCAACTTAAAATAGACAAACCTTATCTGTTTCAAGAAAATCTGTTCACACTACAACTACCTACCAGAACAAAGTTAATTCTCTCCTGCATTATTATCCACAACCTCTACAATTAAGGTACTAGTAACAACACCAAATGTAGATTTCCAATTGATTATGAAATGTGATATGAAGCATAGGTTCACTTTGAGATGGTGGAGGTACCCCAAATTCCTACCAATAGTAAAATGGATTTAAAAAGTATAGTACGTTCACTCAATAGCACGGAAACATGAAGAAGGAACAAGTATCACACAACACAGCCAGACCCAAAAAAGTGCATTCTCTTGTTTGAATCATACTAGACCGCCCAACACTCCTTGTTGCAATTATAAAAAGATTTCACTTCTTGAAGATTTTGATATCAGCTCATTGTCTCATTTTCTACCACTATTCTAGCTATAATTCTTGGTGATTTCCAATTTCCCAATTCTTAATAATTCCATACCCACCCCACCAGCTAACTGTAAAACAAAGAACAACAAGGAACACCCTCTCCCCACCAAAAAACCCACAGATTCACTTTAAATTTATGTCCACAGATCTTAATGGGGATTTCTAACTCATCAATCCTAACACTACTTGACTTCATCAATTCACTACTACAGGTACATCAACTTCTCATAAAGTCTTCATTTCTTTCTCTTGTCTCAATTCTTTCTCCTTATATAACAGCTGATAATTTGGCTTCTCATTTCATTGAGGAAGCAGAAGCAATCAAAAAATTTCCATATATATTCCACTTATGTGTCCCCACTGGTAAACTGAAATGATTGCTTTTCTTTTCTTTTCTTTTTTTTTTTTTTTTTTGGTGGTATTAGGAACTAGGAATTGAACCCATGGCTTTGCATAGGCTAGGCAAGCAATCTACCACTGAGCCACATTCCCAGACTTTTTAATTTTATCTTGAGACAGGGTCTTGCTGAAGCTGCCCTTGAATTTTTCATCTTCCTGCCTTAGCTTCCTGAGTAACTGGGATTACAGTGTGTGCCACCATATCTGGCCACACCACTGACTGACTGCTCCTCAGTCTTTGTTGTAACCTTTCAGCAGCATTTGACCTTACTGATCACTTCTTTCTCCTCACTATATTTTCTCCTGATCCCAGTAAGGTCCTGATTCCCCTCCTATTGCATTGGCTGGACCTTCACACATTCCTTTATTGTCTCTTCATTCAACTTTTTAATATTGAGAGTGCCCAGGACACAATCTGGGTCCTGTGTTTAGGTCCACAACCTCCTTCATCACTAGCATATACCTCCTTTTTCCCTATTAAACATGGCAAGAAATCCTGTTGTTGCTACTTTAAAACAGATTCAAAATCAAATTATTTCTTATTACCTTCAATGTTACTTCACTGGTCCAAGGATCAACTGGATAATCTGATAGCCTCTCACCTGGTTTCCATGATTCTGTCTATCTTGCCTTTATCTAGTTTTAACATAGCAGACAGACCCCTTAAAAGGCAATATAACTCTGCTTTAAATTCTACACTGGCTCTTCATCTTATTCAAAATAAAAATCATGGTTTTTGCAATGGTGTGCAAGGCCCTAATGATTTGCTTCACTCAGTCCTACATTATCTCTGTGACATCATCACAACTCTCCACTCTGGTCAAGTCACACTGGTGTCTTTACTGTTCCTTAAACATGACAGTGCTTCTCTCCTCCAACCACCCAAGGAGCTGTGTACTAGCCTGGCCAGCCACTGTACCTCCACTGTCCTCATCCACACTCTCTTTTTCTGCCACATGGGCATTCTGGCTGTGCCACTTACTCATTTCTACACTAGGAATCATTCAAAATGCTATATAAAACTTCTTTTAACTAAAAGTCTTGATTTCCACCCAATGAACAGCCCTCATCAAGTGGTGACTTTCCTGAAGCACTTCATTCAGATGGCTGTTTTTCCTACCTTCACTGGAGAACGCGTCATCATCTCTCCAGATCCTCGAGGGAATATTCGTGCTTGAGCAATCATTTCCAACACACTTGTTTTTCCAGCACTCTGATCTCCAACCACAACAACCTTATCACAAAGCAAATAACATTTATTCATATTTCTCAGATAAAAAATTTGCTTAAATAGATATGAAATGTTGCTTTTTTAATCTTTTAAAATTATTATAGTTAAAAAATGAGTTTTTGTCTAACCTACTGAGCCTATCTATTCATTCCCTCTCCCCACTTATTGTGGGTTAGCCTCCACATATCAGCAAAAACATTCAACCTTTTTTTTTTGTTTTTTTTTTTTTATTAGTTGCTCAAGACAATACAATGATCTTGACATATCATACATTTGATACAAATTGGGTATGAATTCTCATTTTTCCACGTGTACAGATTGCAGGATCACATTGGTTATACAGCCACGTATATACATACAACAATACTAGTGTCTGTTGTATTCTGCTACCCTCCCTACCCCCCCTCCTCTCCCCTCCCATCACCTTCCTCTACCCAATCTACTGTGACATATTTCTCTCTCTCTTTTTTTCTTCTTCCCCCTCACACCATCATAATAACGATGAGGGAAGGGAAGGGGGATGGGAAAAAGAAAGACAGTGGAATGAATCTGAAATAATTTTCCTATGTACATTTCATATGAGTACACCACAGTGAATCCCACCATCATATGCATCTATAAGAAGGGGTCTTAACTAGAATAAGATATATTCTATGCTGGTACAATTATATCACAATGAATTCTACTGTCATGTATGATTAAAAAGAAGCAATAAAAAAGTAGAAAAGGATGATATAATTTTAAAAAAGAATAATTTATAAGATAGATGTGTCAGTTAATATGCTATATTAGGTCAAATTTCTAAGAATAGGGGTTAATGCTATATTAATGTAATCCATCTTTTTGGTATAAAATATCAGTTAGATGGAGGTTCTAGTTTCATAGAGAAGTAGGAAAAAAGTAATGTAGAAAAGGTTGAATTTGCATTAGAATGAAGAACAAATGCCCTTGGAAGCAAAGGGTTATTAAATATCATATTAGATTACTGGGGAAAGTATTGTGGTCATCTTCAGGGTGGACTAAATGTACATCCTTCTGAGAAGCCTCACGTAAAATCTGATAGAAGATCATCAGGCAATTGTAGCCCTGAGTTGACTGGTTCGTGCTGCAGAATGTAGTTGTTTGTTTTGATTTCCTTTCAACACATGGTAATTTTTCTCCCCTTTGAAAGGGGGAAAAAAATGGCTTTTTTTCTTACGTGTGCAATGAGCAAAAGATAATTTTTGTTTTTGGAAACAAGATATTCAGACATCCAGTTTCAGAATCCATGATCAATAAAGCCAAATTAAAAATTAAAAAAATGAGTTTTTGAAAACCCATGACAAAATGATGGCTGATAATAGCAAAACATTAATTAGATCCATTATTTATAGCCAAATTTTAATTTAAAAAAACTTGTGCTAATCAGTTAAAACCACTTTTTCTAATACTAGATTACTAACTCTCCACAAACTTTCTATAGCTAGTTTACTCTTTAGAAATACATTTAAATTCTATTAGGTTAAATTTCATTTGTGTGCCTAATTTAATTCATGGTTCAGGTATTTTACTATTATAAATTTAATGAATTTATAATGCCAAATATCCAATAGACTTCCTTCATAACATTATACAATACATAAATAAGATGTTAATATGGAGCAAAATAAAGAGTCAAACAGTACTCAGTGCTTAAGCTATCATCTGAACACATAAATAATATTATATAGGTAAAAATTATGTATGTCTATGTGTGTGTATATATGTAAATGCATACAATATGTGTATAGATACATAAAACTCTTAAGAAGGTGATTTTTGCTAATGAGCAAGTTCATTGTGTATTATTTTTTCACTTACCCGTGGTAGATGATCTTGTGTATTATAACTGGCATCATAATCAGAGAGAACATCAAGAACTTCTGAATACATATCAATCAAAGATTTCTGTAAAATTTTAAAAAATTAATAGAAGACTGAAACATTAAGGAAAAAAATACTACAGATGTGTCTAGAGAAAAAAATGTGATATGTTCAAATTGTTTTTCCATGATTATACTGCTTTTTCCAGTTACATAAATATATCTTCATAGTAAACATTAAAACACTAAGGGATGGGAAAAGGAAGAACAGTAGAATGAGTCTGATCTAAATTTCCTGTGTTCACATATGAAGATACCACAGGGAGACTCACTATTATGTACATCCATAAGACACTATTAAAAAAAAACTGTAAGAAAATCAGTTGAATAAAGGGTAAAATGCCATTTCATCTTCAGTTTACCTTAGAGTTTCAGTTTAATTTAGAGAAAAAATTTAGAACTTCCTAAAATTAAATAATAAAAGGAAGGTATTATTACTGATGAGCTAATATTAAATGTCAATAGAGGAAGACCATTAATACCAAAAAGGCCATAAAAGAGGCCAGGTGACCAACTGACAAGGAAGCTATTATTCTCTGCCAAGTATGGGGTGTGTGTGTTTGACAGGGAGAAACAAATAGGATATAGAACATATGCAAATAAACATCTGAGGCTAAAACTAGAGAAATGATCACCAAGAGGACTGTTAAGCCAGTAAAAGAGGTTAAGCTTCCTCTGACACCTAGGAAGGCTACTATGTTAGAGCATCTGGGACAGATATCCTGGATTGCTTCTCTGTAGATAAGGAATGAACATGGTGTCTTACATATAAGTAAAATATCTGAAGACCAAACAAATAAGCCAAGTGGTCTGGAAAAAAAAGACCCATTTAATAACTAAAAATAAGGTGCTTTTTTTTTTTTTTAAGATAAGTTATTTAATGCCAAGATAGAAACAACATTAGGGTTTAAGTGTCTTAATCTTTTATACCTGAAAGTAATTAAATGGTAAGCAACTGTCATTCCATCTATCTAAAAGCAAGCAAAAAAATTTAAAAAGAAATTTCATTACCAATGCATTTTATGAGAGAAAATGCCATCTTTTAGGTAAATTCTCAACATACAGTTACATTTGAATGTGGCTTTTCTCAACTGGTAAGAGCCACTTGTAAATAAAGCCATGCTAGTTATCTATTTGTACTGTCACGACTTAAGAGTCAGAGCTACCAACACATTCTTTAAACTAGAATGAAATCTTTGGACCTTGGCTACAGAATGTATGTGCCATTAGTACTTATTGTGCTTACTTACAACATTTAAGCTAAATGAATTACTTTAATTTCATTAAACACATATGGCTTGGCTTGGTTTGGTGGGAGATAGTGGTAATTACCAATGTGATAATAAAATCATCATAGGCTTTTTCGAAAAATTCTTATAAATGCCAAAGAAGCTTCCCCTAGAAGATGAATGTTAATTTTTAAAATCAAAGTGGCTCAGTCATTCACTGGACATAATAGTAAGGCAATGATGATGTCATAGTTAAATGTCCATCAAATTAATAATTCTAATTATATAGATGTAGAAATTAAGCCTAGAGATAAAAACTTTATTTCAGAAAAATAAATTCCCAAGGAATTACTCTTAAAAATAAGGCTTTTAGGAATCCAGTATAAGAATAAATCTGGGAGACTGTTGACATTAAGTTGAAAATAAAAGGATAACAAAACATTTTACAGTTCCTTAAAAACTGGTATCAATGAACAAAGGCTATGTGTCAAAGTTTTGAGAATTAATAAACTGAAAGAAAATACCTTCAGCTTTCTATGATGGATGCCTTTATCATCTTTCTGCAATACTAATTTTCTCAATTCTTTGTTCTCCTTTTCTAAACGTTCCAAGATTCTCTGATACTTTAGCTGCAAAAAAATAATACATACAATTATATGAGAAAAAGATGGGTCAACAAATATTAAGTCCAAATTAAAATCTTCCAAAATTTTGAAGTCATATCACCTATTTAAAATGTATATTACTTTTAAAAGGCTTATAAGGCAATAATGAAACTCTGAATATTAAATAGTGAAATTCACAATTTTCTATTGTAATTTAGCATTTAATTTGAAAAATTCTTTACAAATTTCTTACACTGAAAAAATTAAGTTATTTAGAAATATCAAATATGTATGAATTTTAAAAAGTAGGTTCTGAAGTACACCCTTAAAAGGCAGTATTTCTTGTTATGTCAAAATTTAAGGTTTTCATTATAGGACCATTCGACAAAAATTCAGATTCTTTCCATTCCCAAGTTATTTTGTTTTAATTGATGCTATGATATAAAGTAATAACACAATACTTGAGCATGTAGCATGTGATAGACTCTCTACTAAGTTGTTTCCCATGCATTAACTATCTTAGCCATCCTAGAAACGTCACATGGCAGGAGTTATGCAGAGTAGGATCTTAATTTAGGGATGTGTGGTGGCATGCCCAAGGCAACCTAGCTTGTATTGGTGGAGAAAAAGAGTTTTTGAATATAGGTTTGTCTGAGTCAGAGGTTCAAATTCTTCCGTTTTGTTAAATGCCAATGCCCAGAGAAAATATGTCAATATTTAAAATAATGATATAAAAATAGATTGTAAAGAAAACTAATAAATTCAAAGAGGATATTCTGTCAAAGGAGTTGCTTGGTAACCATCTTCTCTTCTTAAGTGAATGTGATCCTTTTGAACTGGTCTTCCTCATTCTTATTTCTTCTAAACATTGAAAAATGTACAAGAAACTACTAAGAAGCATTCTTCCCAATAATCAGCAGAATGTTCATGTATAAATGTATATCATAATTTTCATAATAGAAAATAGTTTTTAAGAAAAGTTTTTAAAAAAATTTCAATCTTTTGATTAAAAAAACATATTAGAACAAAGTAAATATCACTTAAACATGGTCCTATCCTCTGAGAATGTCCAGCTTAAACCAAGTTAAAGAAAACATATAATTGAATCATATAATATGAAACAGTTTACGTTGCACTATAAACATTTTTTACACATCCATTTATATCCACTAATAGCACATATAACAAAATTCTGGTAGATTACTGTTGCCTAATATGGTAGTCACAAGCCAAAGAAACTAGTGAACACTTAAAATATGGATGGTCTATGAAGATACACTGTAAGCATAAAATATCTTATTTAATACTTTTACATGGATCACACATTAAAATTAAAGTATTTGGGACACATTGGGCTAAATAGTATATTGTTAAACAATTTCATCTGTTTCTTTTCATCCTTTTTTAATGTAAAACTTTCAATTTTTCAGGTGACCTGCATATTTCTTTCTACTGGAAATCACTGATACAGACACAGCTAATTCCTTGGTTTTATTATATTATGAATTCTCCACACAGTGTTGTGTCAATGCTCAGTGGCTAATAACTACAACTGTACAAAGGGTTGTACTTTTATGTATCCCTTAATATCAAAGGGTTGATATTAAGGGATACATAAAAGTGGTAGGATTTCTACTGGCTCATTTCCTTGTAAATATGGAATCTATTTGGGGATTTATATTTTCATTCTTTAGTACACCTGTCAACTACAGCAATGTGCTATTAGCCTGTCTTGCAAGGTTCTAGAACAATAATATACTGTAGGGCAAATCACAACTTCCTTGAAAGATTTTCAAAACAAAGATTGCTAGGTTCAGGATGTATAACCAATGTGATCCTGCAGTCTGTATACGTGGTAAAAATAAGAATTCATAACCCACTTGAATCAAATGTATGAAATATGATATGTCAAGATCATTGTAATGAGCAACTAATTAAAAAAAAAAAAAAGATTGCTAGGTCCATTCCCAGAGTGGGACAGAGACAAGAATTTGCCATTTTTTAACATACTCCCAAAGAACACTGATACTTCTGATCTAGCGATCACACTTTCAGACCAGTGAATTTTTTAACTTACAAAATGTAGTTTTATTAATGAACTTTAGGATAAGTGCCATTCTTAGTCTACCTTCTTCTTGAATAGATATTGCCAATTATTAATAACCACGACAAAATTTTCATTAGGTAACTATGCATGCGGGGGAGGGTGACTGGTTCATTTATATCACACTGTAAATAAGTATAAACACTGAGCAACCATATTTCCTTCTAAATTTTCTTAAGGCAGGTCTTTTTAGCAGTGTATTTACATAGTGCAGTGCAGTTTTAGCAAAGTTAACTATTTTAGTTACTCAATCAAAATAATATACATGGCCAGGAGCCAACAACAAAATCTTTTCTATTTCTTCAACCTTGTCAGTTTTAAAAACATAAGTTCCTCATATATGTGTGTGTGTTATGTGTGTATGTATGTGCATATACATACATTACCATATCAAACCATTTTAATAGACTTCAGTTTCAGTTTCGTCATTTACTTGAAAGATTTCTATATGGAATGTTTACTCAGAATTAATTCCTCACTGGGATTTCAGGGTTCTATGTCAAATATGCCCAAGTCCTTCTTCATTGTACTGCTAGACATTTTTTGGGTTCATTCACACTTTTCTTTCAAGGGTTTCCTAATTTTACTCTTGGATCTTCATTTTTGTTTGCTTGAATTATTTCAATTTTCAGATAATGCAGGTTGATATATATATAAATAGCCATACAGATGAAGATAATAAACAAGGTATTCTTGATTGTTGCAGAATCAACATTGTGAAAAGAAACTGCCAGATCAGAACAGTAACCAGGACCTCTACAGGAGGATAATATTTATAGTAACAGTACCAAAAAGTTCTGGGTAGATAACCTTTGATTAGGTGGTGTTCTTGTAGAAAGGGATGAAAAGTTTATTTTCCAGTGATTACCTCTGGAATCTCCAGGTTTACATTTATAATTTACATACATTTTTCCCGTTTTCATTGGAGGAATTATGGGTACATCTGACTGTTTTAAATGCATCACTACCAAATCTCTTCAAGGCTTCTTTGATCTCCAGTCATGCAATCCTGCTCTACACAGTACTTCTCCCAAAGTGAATTCGTTCTTCAGCATCATGATTTGAAAGTAGTCATCTCAAATTGTGTAGTATGACATATGTATCATCATCTGCTTTCACACGCCAATTAGCATCTTCTAAATAATGGTCATGAACATACTGAAAAGCTTTAATTGCTTTCCAGTACAGGTGCTCTGCTCCTTTGGTTTTTAATCCCACAGCAGGAAAGTCTTTAACACCGCTTCATTATGACAATGAACTCATGGTAGCTTTTACATGTTTGGACTTTTTCTCTAGATTCTGAGGAACTACCACATCCCAAAAAAGAATTTTAACTTTTTGATAGAGGTTTTCAGTGATGTCTGTTTTCATCTTTATGTTGGCTAGAAACTGAAATCAAATTCATTTACCCTTCTAGATGTTTCTGTCATCATCATCTTTTAACTTTTAAAAGTAATTCTAGCATGAAGATCATTATGAAGAATATTAGCCTATGTGCCACCTGTTCTCCCAACAAGATACTTACTAAATAGCTGAAAACATAAAAAATCCACTGAGGATGGTTAAAAATTTCAACCAAGATTTAGAAGTTATTTCCTGAAAGTGTATTTGTGACATCAGCAACTGCTCCCTTTTGCCCTCCTGGGGACGGAGAGACAAGACAGATTGATGACCTTTCCTCCTCCTCCTAGCAGCAGCAAGGCTGCCGCTGCTGTTGAGATCACTTTAGGCAATGAAGACGGCTAAGGTAGGCCCAGCATGCATTCCAGCTTGCTTGCTCCACTTCTCTCCACAGCATGTCCACATCTATAAAACCAGTGATTCTTAACTCCTGCTGTATCACTATACTATACTGCTTTTAGTTTCTTTAGATAAATACCAAGGAGTAGGATAGCTGGGTCATATGGTGGTTTGATTCCTAATATTTTGAGGAATCTCCATACTGCTTTAAGAGTAGTCGTACTAATTTGCAGGCCCCCCAACAATGTACAAGTGTACCCCCCGATCCCTGCCAGGATTTATTACTGTGTTCTTAATAACTGCTATCCTGACTGGAATGAGATAAAATCTTAGTGTAGCTTCTATTTGCATTTCCTTGATTGCTAGAAATGTTGAACCTTTCTTAATGTATTTGTCACCCATAAAGAAGAAAAAAATTATGAAAACAGAACATCATGCTAAGTGCAATAAGCCAGACTCTGAAAATCAGGGATTGAATGTTTTCTCTTATGTGGAAGCTAGAGCAAAATAAGAGAAAGAAGGTGGTGGACAGGGGTGGTCAGTATCATAAATATATGGGGAAGATCATTAGAGTAAAAGGAGATCCAAAGGGAGGAAGGAAGAAAGGGAAAGGGAAGGAAATATGAAATGAATTTAACAAAATTACATTATATGCATATATAAATGTACCACAGGAAATTTTACCTTTATGTATATGTAGAAAGCATCAGTCAAAAATAAATAAGCAAGTGAAAGGAAGATCAGTAGAAGAAAGAGAATGGGGAAAGGAGGGGAGGGAAGGCAGGGAAGGGAGAGAATGTGATTAAAATCAAAGTCCATGCCATGTATGATTTTGTCAAAATGAACCCAACTACTATGTACAACTAACTATAAGTGCTCTATAAATAAATAAATGGCAAATAATAAAAAATATATGGGGCCACCCAGAACAGAGGTGATTGTAGCATACAGTCGGGTATAAGACTCAATGAAAAAAATCAAGGAAACCTGTAACTCAAAATGTACATATTAGTTGTTTAATTTCATCCAGATTGATACTTGTTTTTTTTTTTTTCCAAAATAGAAAGACCCAAGATGAAAAATCTTTTAACTTTTAAAACTAACTCTTAATAATTGTACATTAATGTTATTTATATAGAATATAGATGATGAAGTGATAAGGCAATTTTGCACTAGAAAGTCATCTACTAATAACACTGCACAAGTTACCTACTCACAGAACAGATCTTTAAAATGATGATTTTACAAACTATTAAAAGAATAGCTTTTCAAAGTGGAACCAGAAATACCTTTAGAAAAGTACCATCTGATTGGTTTCAGGCTTCAGAGAAGCAAAGAAAAAGATTTCTGAGAGCTCACTAGACATATGTGGTAGTAGACTCAATTCAAATTTCTTTAACTGTTGCCAATTAAAGAAATTATTTTATCAATATAAAAATGCAAGAGTCAGTTCATACAGAAACAACCACTTTCCTTCCTTTTTTCACAGTACACTCAAAATGAGACACATAAATGTGTTAATTCAATACTTACATAGCTCCTTCTTAGTTCTCAATTAGCTTTTCTCTCTTAGTGATAACAAGAGTTTATCAATAACAATTCCAAATATTGCTTTGTTGAAAAAAGTAAACTTCCAAACTTACATATCATCAAACTTACATAGGATTATTTTTAAAAAAGATCCTGGGTTTTCTTACTCATCAGAATTACCTGAGTATGCAGAAGTTCTTCTTGAAGTTGGTCAATTTTCTCTTTGTCTGACACCTAAATATTTAAAGGAAACTAATTTTAGTTGACTAGAGTTAGGTTTATATAGAATGTACAGTAAGTTAAATTTTTAAAAAAGTATCAAGAATGAAAACCGATAACTTTATATGTATAATTAAAACAAACTTTAAATCAAGTGATTTTTTTTAAAGAAAATACCAGCATCCAACAATAAAAATAGGTCATCAAAATTTTATATATTAAGAAGTAAAAACCTTATAACAGAATAAATTTCCTGTTGTCATTCCAGTCATTTCTTATGAATGACTTGTTAGAAAAATAGCAGACCAACCAACATGTTTATTCTTAAGAGGTTGTTCTGTACTAAAGCACAGGGACTTACATATTTAGAGAATAAGCATTCATCTCTCTCTAGAAATAAATTTTGGGAAATCAGATACATGGAATTAAGTACAGCTACTGTAAAAGCTCATTGGTCACATTATATATTTTAAGGAAAAGTTATTCATTTCTATACTTTAAATAAGTTCATAATAAATGCAAAAAGGTAAGTTGCATTTTCAGAGCTTTAAGTTGAACCAAATGCTTGTTTTTAAATTCAATTCCAGTGCAAGATCTGCTAACCCTTATACTTTAGGGAATGCATTTGCAGCAATGAAACCAAATACAGCAACTAACATCGATTTGAACACAAAACGAAAAAAGAATAAAATCCACAGGTATTGTGTAAACTACTTCAAATTGTTATTGATAATGTTAACGTAATATTTTTTAAAACTCCAGAGAACTTTATAACAGGTTTTAAAGTAGTCACAATACAAATCTAAATGCAAAATACAATGATCAATTGTAATACAAACGATGTCACTTATGAAATTCACAAACTGTACTTTGACTTCTTGATAAGGTACAGAAGTTGTCATCCTTAGTCTTTAAAAATTACTTTCTAATTTCTGAAAAGTTAAAATTTGTAGATGTGAATTTATATCACAGGAGAAAAAAATCAAGTTAAATTCATATTCTTTTTCATTTAAATCTTTGCACATATTCACTGTGCAATTTAAGCAATCAGAACATCAATGGCAGCAAATACATGCGAAAAAATTTTAAATGATTACTGAGGTAGACATTAATAAGTCTTGTCCATGCTATAAAGTTATTTTCAGTTTTTTTTGTTTTTTTTTTTGTACCGGGGATCGAACCCAGGGGCACTTTACTACAAAGCCACATCCCCAGCTTTTTAAAAAATATTTCATTTAGAGACAGACTCTCACTGAGTTGCTTAGGGCCTCATTAAATTGCTGAGGCTGACTTTGAATTCATGATCCTCCTGTGTCAGTCTCCTGAGCTGCTGGGATTACAGGCAAGCTGTAATCTACTGTGCCTGGCTATTTTCAGATTTTAATTCCTATTTCTAAGCATTTTTCAAATTTTTCTCCAAACTTTTACTTAGATAAATGGCAATACTTGCTAGAAATAATAGACATATTTTCTTTTTCTTAAAAGACCATGTCTGAAAATCTCCAAGAATGACTTGGTAATGAGAAAAAATATAAAAAAACTTTGTTTTTGCAATTCTGTATAGCAAGCAGAAACTTGCTGATAATATTTTTTCTCATTTTGACTATGTGTATGTAGAATGGACAAGAATTATTAATAGTCTCCTAAAACATAAGGAGATAAGCAAGTTGAGGAGGAGCCCATAACCCAAAAAACAAAATTTAGAAGGCCAATGAAACAAGAAATAATTCCATGTTACAATCATATGGTATGCCATCATTTTGTAATAATATGGTCATAAATAATTTGTTATGCAGATTAAATACCCAGATCATTTAAAAAGGCACTTTGAGATTTATTTTGCTTATTAAATATTACCCAAAGGGAGCTAAATATGTAAAACATACATAAACATTAGTTTCAACTATTTTAATTTTGAATATGAATATTTACTGATTTCATATAATATATCCTAAATTATTATAGAAAATCCAACACACTCAACATCTGGGGCAATAATTAAGAAAATAATAATAATTATACAAAAAAGGTTTAAATGTCTCTTATAAGCCAAGAACTGTAAAAGGTTAACTTAGTTATTAGTTTGGTAAAATAAAAAGTTTCAATATAAAGTAAAATGATGTTTATTAGCACATAACTCAATCTTGATTTTAATATTAGTGTTTAGAATAAAAACTGTTGAGATCTGTATGTATTTGGATTTGGGGGAATATTTAAATTTATTATTTGCTCTTCTGGCAAAATTGTGAAAAATAACTCATGCATAGTTTACTGCAGCATCAAAATTTATCTTAATGTTATATTAAAAGACAAGTGGTGGTGGAATAAAAAACAGATCTATTTTTTTTCTAGAAAACTTTTAGGTTTCTAAAACAAATGTAAAGTTTAAGGAGAATATACGTTTATATGTTTTCTTCTACTTTCAACCAGAAACTTATCCTAGGTCTTAGCTAGTAACTTGGGTACATTTTATTTTGCTGTGCTTTGCTATTAAATTCAGCCACTTACAATGAGAAGCTCATGTCCTGTTGTTTAACATTTTAGTTTTCGTTATGAAATTAATTTGAAACTCACCCTGACAGAAATGATATCAATGGTCTTGAAACCAGAGCTTTTCTACAATTCCAGGGCTGTGAAACTGATGGAGAAAGAGCGGAATCCTCCGCAGAAACAAGCTAAAGCTGAAAGAGAAAAACCTTTACTAGCTCCTCACAAAACCAAGCCTGATTTTAAATAAGTATTTCTTACTACTAAGCCATTGTGGCATTCTGAAATACATATACAAGAGGGTCACTGAAAGATTTCTATATATATACATACTTTTAGGAGGCAAAACTACCACAGGCAGTTTTAATCTACTAGCTCTTCTTGAGCTCTTTCACTTAGAAGATACTGAAAAAACTTGTTAGTTGCTTCTAACAAAATATTAAAAAATGAAGACCTTTTTATAGTTTCAAGAAGGTAAGGGAAAAACAATAATTAAAAAGCAACAAAAAGTACCTCAAATAAAACACAAATGACTAAAATGACAAAAATCTCATAAGAACTTTGATCATGCCAGTGAAGAGCTGAAAAGTCACCTCTGTACCAACTCTAGGAAGGAGGAGGTAAAGATTAACTAAGGAACTATTCTTTCAGAACGGTAAGGAGAACTCGTTACAAAAGAGTGTAAATTATTTTTTAAAGTCCCACTTATAATTCACACAAGGTAACAAAAAGAGGGCACAAACAAGGCCTGTCTGGTGCCCAACTAAGTGTATTTTAATAAACAAAATAGAGACCTACCAGTCTCTATTTTATAAACAAGGAAAGAGGTACAAAATGCTTAAATGAATAATCCAATAAACATTAGAAATAGGAATAATATTTCTAAGTCAGAAATAAAAACTAGTAAAATAGGCCTACAATGGATATTAACCTTTTACAATGTAGAAAATGAATGAGTGTTTATTCCTAATATCCCTGTATTGTTAGATTCAAAAGCACAATTTAACTATATCTTAGAATCTTAAAATGACAGGGACATATTTCATCATTATAAAAAAAACACTTCAGAACAACTTGTAAATAAAGCTATATTTATATTTCTAAGTATCATACTAGAACACACTAACTCCTCCCGCTTCTTTCTGCAACAAATCTATGGTATGAATAGGTTAGCCTAAACATCCAATTAGATAGACTATTTAAATGGTACACTCACAGGATACAGAAAAGAGACAGTTAAAGTACCACTTAAAATAAGTCCTTCCTTTTAACACATCTACTTTAACCACATACAAAAAGAACTTATTTTCTTTTCCTTCTTATGTTATTCCTTTATTGAATGCTAATATAGATTTTTGATTCCACAGCCATGGAATTGAGAAGAGCCAGTAAGAGACACTGAAAAAAATAACAGAATTATGATGAGTACTGTAAAGTATTAACCACCACCAAATCAGATAAGGTTAGCCAGCAGAATTATGGAGCCTAATTATTATCTACAGTATTGGTTGATGTAGACATCAGAACTCTCCTGGAAGTTAACTGTGTGAATTAATCTTTTTTCCTAAATAAGGTCTGTGTATAACTTTAAAACTATTTTATCTAATAGATGTAACATAATTAACTGATTTTTTGAGATTTCAGACTATAACAGCAAAATCATTAATTATTTCACTGGGACCTAAAAATCTTGTCACAATACAAACTTAGGAATCTATACTCTGGTATTACCTAACAGCCAAAGCAACCTCTTAACTGCATCAATTTTGGGGTGACTCAATAACTGGACCACATAAACAGTAACTCAGAATCTTACTCTAAATACAAATCCATGGACACTCACAGATAAACTAATCTTTGGAAACTAAATTGCTATGCTTGAGCTTGATATTTTGAGTTTTGTCTATACTATACTACATCCACTCCAGGAAAGTTACATATCTTTATGATGTATCTTTTTTTTTTTTAACTTTGTTAAAAATAATTTCTTGTAACTTGAGTCCATGAATGGATTAAGGCGACATGATCTTGGCAGAAATGGCTGATTAGCGTGAACATATCAGTAGCCCCCTTAAATCATCCATCACCTTGCGCTTCTGTTGGGCATAGCTCGTGCTATACTGGCCAGCAGCTCTGCGTGCTTCTTCTTCATGCTCTTGAATTTGCTGTTGTAAGAGAATGAGCTCACCAAGCAGACCCTGCCATGAGTTTACAATGAGGAGAAGAGGAAAATTGGGGAGGAGAACAATGTTAAACCAAAGGGCACAACAAAGAATAGATGTAAGATAGGGAGGAATGGATAGCTTAAAACAAAAATGGAAACTCATGCACCTTTAGAGCCTTCATTTAGCTGGGCTCAGTACTGCATTTCCATTTTCACCCTCAGTAAAATTAGATGTCTCAGAAACATAAAACAGTATAGCTTAAAAAGTGAAAAGGAAAATGCAATCGTAACTGTTGAATAAAGTAAGCCGGATATATAATATCAACACACAGTAAAACCTAGACTAACTGGAATGTTCCAGGAAGGCAGCATTGTAGTTCATTGCATTTCCTGGTATAACCCTTAATTTTGAATTGCCAATGTGAGCCAATGTATGCCCCTAACTTGGAGAAAAAAGCAAAACTGCTCATCTTACAGGCCTAAATCTAATACTCATCCATAATTCTCACAGGACTAATTGGAAGACCATAATAGCTTATTTACTTATTAAGTTATTATTCTTAAGTAAATATTTTTCTTCGATACAATTTCTTCAATTGAAGACTACAATCTCTCAAAACCCCATTAATCTGAGTTTTCTAGCATCAAGGTAATCAAGGTTTTACATTAACTCATATATTCTATGTGCTTTTTCACACAGCTAAAATTAAAATTTTTGTAAGTTAAAAACTGTGTTATGCTCTATTTTGATTTTATATAATATTAAATAACAAGCTTGACTGTATTTTCACTTTTTATGCGCTGTTTTGACATTAAATAGAAATAGACTCTGAGAACATAACCAAGTAAATATCAACTACTAAGCAAAAGCACTATAAAAGAACATAATAAAGACATAGAGATAATATAATTATTATGAAAATTAAAAATGAAACAAAAGCCAGTTTGGATCCAGTCACAAAATAATTACCTTTTCTACTTCTAAAATTAATTCCACTTAATTGGGAAATGTTAAATGGGTACAATTTTTGTTATAATGTATTCACATGAGGCATGATAATAAAAACATGTAATTGTACAGTATTTTTAGTTACTGGTCTATAAGATAATGGATCTTGAGAAATGTGGAAGAAAGAATAACTAGAATTTGATAAGGGCATAAGTTTCATATTTTCTCAATCAGAAATCCTAAAAAGGTAGTTTCAATGAATGAAATAACTAATCTGTATAAGAATAGTGTCTGGAAATCAATGGGCTCTGTTTTTATAAAGTCATAAAAACACAGACTTAGGAAAGCCCCTACTTACTTACAAAATAACCTAAATTAGGAGTTTCAAATAGTTTCAGAACTTTTTAAATGACTTCCAAAAATACTTTGTTTTGTAGAATTAGAAAGTCTAAAATGCTAGTAAACATTGTTAAAATCTAATTTATCCAGAGGCTTAATTTATTTTATCTTATAGAACCCAAAGACTTAAAAGAGTTTTCCAGAAAATAAACACAAAAGTTAGTATTATAGTAAAGCATTTTAAATTGTATAAATGTTAATATACAATTTGGGGAATCTGTGCTTGATCCTTAATTTTAATACAGTAGGCTATGATCATTGCCAACATTAGACAATGCATAAAACTGATCGGTTTACTACAAATCCAAGGATGGAACTAATTGATATGTTTTCCATATGACAAGTGAAATTTCAACATTTGTTTCCAGATTCAATAATATAAAATAGATTTATAAAGTCTGAAGTTATCTTTAAACACATATCTTTTGAATAAATCAGTTTTATTAGTCATTGTCAAATCTATCAAAAAATAAAATGCCAACTATCTATCTTCATCATTTCCATAATTTCTGTCATTTTTTATATCTTTGCTTTTCATCAAGCAGGAAGAAAAGTAATCTGACAGATTTATTAATTTGTTCATTTATTTTGGTCCATCACTTTTCAAATCACCCAAGTGTTTAGATTTCTCTGCCTTAAAAGAAATCTTCCTATGTTGACTTACACAGTAATGTACCTACTATCTATTTATATACCACCAGTAATAAAATTTATAAAATGCCAAAGCTTTTATATTTATAGCTTAAATACCCTTCCCTAGGTTATTGCTTATATATAAATACAAATGAATGGTAAATACTCTAATATCTATTAGATTATAAGAAAATGCTCTCTTTCTAATAACACCTCACTTTCCTTCCAAGTCTGTTATTGAAGCACTGTTATGTGAAGATAGGTGAAATTAACTGTTACCTCCTGAAAAAAGTAGGGAGAAAACACGAATTAGACGCATAAAAAGCTATTTACACTATGCTATATAGTTTAAGGAAGTTACTTCTCCCCAGTCTTAGGCAACAAATCTCACGCTCAATACCCAATGAAGGGCTTAAACTTTATAATCTAAGATCATGTGGAAGTAAGAGGACAAGGAATGTATGCACCTGCTTTTCAATATACACTCCTCAGATGTACAAAATATATTTTTATTAATAAATATTGAAAACAAGCCTGGGCATTTTTATCTCAAGAAATAGTACACAAATCATTATTCTTAAAATACTACATAAAAAAAAAAAATTAAAAAAAAAAAATACTACATAAAAAATACAGTAATTGCTATAAATAATGATAAATAATTCCTGTTAAGAATCAGGGGGATAGTAGAGGATAGGAAAGGCAGCAGAATACAACAGACACTAGTATGGCAATATGTAAATCAATGGATGTGTAACTGATGTGATTCTGCAATCTGTATATGGGGTAAAAATGGGAGCTCATAACCCACTTGAATCAAATTGTGAAATATGATATATCAAGAACTATGTAATGTTTTGAACAGCCAACAATAAAAAATTAAAAAAAAAAAAAAAAAGAATCACAAATGATATATTCTCTAAACATCTCCTGGCTGTTCTCAAATTGATACTGTAGTAATTAGTTCCATTTTCATGTACAATGCTGTCAGCTTTGTTTTATTTTTAATCATGACATAAGATCAGGAAAATCAGTAGCAGTCCAAAGTGTTTTTGACCCATGAGGATCAATTACACTTAAAAAAAAAAAGTGATAATAAAACAATACAAAGGGAGGCATATTTAAATTACTATTTAATTACTAATTAATTTGGCAAACACTATAGTGCTCAAACTGTGTAGTCTATAAAGACATGATTGCCCACAAGCACAAATGAAACACTTACTCTCTGGTTCTGTAAGGAAGTTTGCTGAGCCTTGATTTAGAAATTTTATGGTAACTTTAGTCTGACAAAAGAACTTTCTGAAAGTAACAACTTCTTTCCCTATCTTACTTAAAAATATTCCTAAGCATTAAACTACTTTCCAAAGTTTGAATAATTCTGCTATTTAGTTAGTTAAAAGAATTATTTCTGCCCCCCAAGTAATACATAATTCTGTTGAAGATATTTATGCCAAATGAAAAATGCTTTATTGGTTATCACAAAGAAACAGGTCTTTCTATTTAAGATGAAATTGCTCCAATCAAGAAATATCATATTCTACTTTACTTTTTGGACAATTTCTATACAAACTTTTAAGGGAAAAACAAGAGAGCTGTTGCCAGAAATTATCAGTATTACAACATCTACTAAATTCCCTTTGTTCTAAATAGTTACATAAAAACAGTATTATATACATATGTATGTACATATCAAATAAAAACATTTATTGTTGCTTTTCTTCCTTTGATCCCTCAGTTTCTCATATACTATGCTCCAGGATGCAAGCAATTTGGGATTCTGCCTGAGAATTTAACCAAGGATAGTTGCTCAGAAAACTTAAGAATTTCCCAATTCCATGGTTACTTGATAGTGATAGTTGTGAGAATTTAATTTTGCAACAAATTCTACATTATCTGTTGTATGAGGAATCCCAGAAATGCAAACCCTATGTAAGCAACATTACCACAATTGAGAATATAAATACATTAAGTGCTTTTATAGCTAACACACAGTAACCAGAGCAAAAAAATCTTTGGGCCCACCTTTGTTAACATCAAACAAATGTATCTACTTTATATCAGCCTCTCTTTTACTAAGTTAAAGCAATTAATTAATTTTGCTAAGAGGTCAACACTATCCTGAGTTCTCTGAGGACAGAGATTTAGTGACAGAAATGGTCCATTAAACAGTAAGAATTCAAGCCAAAGTAAATAGTATTTCATATGGCAAGTATTCTAAACATTGAGGAGAGGATAACTGAAGAAATTAAAATGATTATTTAAGAATTCATGAAGGGGACAATAAGCACAAACAGAAATTAGGCAGGTTAAAAAAAAAGAAAGGAGATATTTCAGTTGGAAGATAAAACAAACCATAAAAATAAAAATTAGAGTAACATGTTGTAACAATATTAATGTATTATCATTTAATAACTACACTGAAAATAATATTACTACTTTTCGTGATTTGGGCCTTTAAAAAGTCCTTCAAATATTTTCTGTGAATCACAAATGTGCTTGTTACCTTGAGAATGGCCATATTACTTACTTCTGTGAGATGTTTACGACCAAATAGAAACATGATAGAACAAAAGCAGAAAACAAAATGTCTCTTTTAACAAATTAATTTTCACTAGAACATGATAGTGTTAAAGAATCTAATAAAGAAGATACACTAATGGTCTTACTACTTATATATATGACTAATATGCAGATTTAAATGATTCCATTAATTAAAAAAAAAAAAAAAAGGCCATCAGTCCAATTCTGAAATTGTCTTGAGGTAATTTTTAAGTTCTCTGAGTCTCAAGAATATTATTCAGTTTATAAGGATGATTTCTAGTATTTTCCTCTAGAAGATACAAGTATTAAACTTAACAAAAAAGTATTTATTAAAAAGTGATTTTACTGTATGCCAAACATACCTCAATAAAATGGCTTAGTTAGGTTAAACAAAGTGGCTTTACTATTTTTCAATGTTTTATTAATCAAAGATACATATCAGAAATTTCAATCAACATAGCATAAATAACCAATATCTGCAAACTAAATGGATATAAATCCAGGTAAACCAAAGAATCTTGATGATTACTTAGCCTGTGCGGCACTATGGGGGAATATATTCTTTCTGTACAATTTTTGAAGACCTCTCTAACAACTTTCCCAAACACCTGAGTCTAGTGAGCCTAGATTAGAAACCAGAGGTAATCAGTTCATCATGTTGTTCCTTCTGTCTGACTCAAGTCAAACTATCTGACATCTGTATTTCCTTCCACTCCCATCATTTTCACTTCTGTTGACTTTGAATGGTTCTAATTGTTCATTTACTTGCCAGGACTTTTCTGAATGTGGTCTCCTATTAGAAAGGACAAATCTTTATTTTAGTTCTAGTTGTAAAAACATTTTCCATAGAAGTCCAGCCAGAAACTGTTTCAAACCTGACAACCATTTAACTGAAGTGTGACTGCTTCAAACCCTACTTTAAAATACTATTTTAAATCTTGGGTTCTCAGACATCAGACTGAACCAATTGAAAGATTATCAGTTAATCTCTGGATGCCACCCTAATATTTCTGATCATCATCCAGATTTTCAAACTTCATGTCTCTGTTATTTCAAAAAGGCTACTGCTATGCAAAGGTCTCTTCTTGCCTGATTGTAATCAATCATCAATTGTAGGGAATTCTCTTAAAATCAGATCAATTTATCTGTATCATGTCTGAGTAGTTCATTATTCTCAAGCATTATAGGCAACAGTCAATCTTTAGAGACATCAGCTGAGACTGGAGATAGTTTTTTCCACATATAAATTTTTAATATTTACTATAATTTAATTGGTAACAAAAGCAGCTTAATTACAATCTAGATTCAGTGTTTACAAAAAATGTTTGAGTAGAAATAACTGATGAGATTTTACTGGGCAAAATAATTACCATAAAATATAAAAAAGTTAAAAGGAAACAGTCTACAAGGGCATTTATCTTCAAACAAGCATTTATTTTCAAAATAATTTATAAAATAAAGCAATAAATTTACTTGCATGTCTACTGTATAAAGTAAAATCTGTAAATATATTATCCAAAACACATTCTTTTGCTTTATCTCTACTGCAGAGCTCCCAGTTAATTATTGATTATTCATTTATCAACTTGGCGGTTTTAGAGGAATAATCCCAAGATAAGCTCTTCTATCACCAAAGTAATCCTAGGTCATATCAGAAAGAAAGCAGACATGCACACCTCCTCTAACTGATTTAGGCAAAAAGAAATATTGTCACTCAAAAAAAAAAAAAAAAAAAAAAAAAAAACCCACACCATCATTCTAACAAAGGTGCTTTCTCTCCACTTATAGATAAGTAGATTAATTCATTTATTGTTTACTTGCCTCAAGAACCAAGGCCTGGGCTCAAAATAAGCTGCACCTTACCAATGGTTAAGAGTACTATTTGGTTAAAATTATGTAAGTGCAGTGTATCAAAAAAGATTAAATCAGAAGCAAATACATACACATTCTGAAATATACTTTATCCAAAAGATAAAGTTAAAAAGCGAAAGAAATAAATCTTGATATATAATTAAAATCTGGACCATTACATAAAATGTTCAAAGTTTAAAGAGAGGGAAGGAGACGGAAACCTACAAACAGGAATCATTTCTTCTTCCTTTACCCCAAATAAACATAAAATTATTTCCTATTATTAAAACTCAGCATAAAACATATATATTCCATATTTAATTTTAAAATGTTTAGAATATTTTTCCATGAATCTATTTATCTACATATTATTTTTCCAAAATTTTTTGCATAATCAATTATTTTCCAAAATCAATCCCATTCCAAAAGGATAAAAGAAATAAAGACTAAGAAAATGTCCAATAAACATATAATTGTAAACAGTTACACATGTTATTCTAATTTAGCAATTTTATAACATTATAAATTGCAATTCTCCTATAGCTTTAATATGGATTTTGCTAAAGGAATGTACTGAAATCAACAAACTTCAAATAACCCCACACATAGTTTTGTGGACTCTAATTTCCTACTCTATTCAATATCCTCCCCTATGTAAAAATTAGTCTCCTGAAGATTTTCATGAGAAAGAAGATTAATAAATAAATTCAGAAAATCCTGTATAATTTGATTCCTCTTGGAGGTCCACAATGCTCATGAATATATTAAGGTCTGTGGAGTCCTGAGGAAAGGAAATCATCTTGCTTTATATAGACTGGCTTTCACCACATGTATTTAACAACAAAACTTTTTCTTGGAGCCAACCCTTGAATTATTATTTCAGAGAATATATTTGAAGAAAATGGGCTTGTCTAATATTTCCAGAACCACCACATAACATTTTTGCACTAAGATTAGTAAAAGTACATCTATTTAGGTAATTTTGTATTTGCTCCTCTCATGCTGCCACTTTCAAATCTTCCAAATGGTAAACACTTTAAAAATCTTTCAAGACTACCTATAAGAAGAATTCTGTTTTATACTTACCTTTCTATAATGCTTGTCACTTTCACGATCTGTTGCTCTAAATGCTGTTTCTCCAGGTGAACCTTAAAAATATGCAATCCTTTAAATCCTTTAAATATGCAATCCTTTAAATTCATAGCCTAAGCTAAATTCCAAACTATGTCTCATTAATCAAAAAGTAAATTGATTTTAGAGCAACTCAGAGTCAAAGCATCAAATCACTTTTATTTTCATATAGAAAACTTCTAAAAATCACAGCACATATTTAACTTATTTAAAAACTATTTGGCTAAAAATTATAATAAAAAAAATAAGGAAATCTTTGGTAAAGATTATTTTACATGAGAATACTTACAGTTCAGACAAATACCACTGTCATCAAGCCAAGTATATAATACAAAAACAAATTTAATATGTCAACCATGACAGGGCAGATGAGACAAACTAAAATTACTTTTCATTTCAATTATCAAAAATAATTATATGTTTCAAAAAATATTTTGGCTAAGCAAATTTTAATAGGTTTAATCTTATACATACATATTTAGGAATTTTAGTTTTATTGCAAAATAATTACTTTATTCTCTGCACCTAAAGGATAATGAGTTTGCTTAATATATTTCTGGGGTTTTAAAATTCAGCATAAGCAGTATTATAATTTTGGTCCGCAACTTTATTTGCAACTAGTTTATTAGAAGCATTTAAAAGGCATGTTAAGGTCAGCAAAAATGTCTTTTTACACACCTAACAAGAGAAGTAGGTCAGAAGCTTCTATGACTTCACTAACCAATTTGTGACCTGTGAAAAATTAGCAGAAGGGGAAATAAAAATGTAAAATTTAATAGGAATGGCAAACAAAGGTGTCTGAGATCTCAGATTTATATCACAATAGGGTAGTAATTGGGCAAATATGCCAGGGTTGGCCTTATAAATTCTACTTGTTATGGTCCGTGAAATTAAATTTTGTTTTAAAATCACCATATTGGCTTTAACCAATTATGAAAAGCAAATACATAGGAAGTCTCATCTACTTGTCAAGAAGTGGTGCTATGTTTTTCCCTCACTTACTAAAAGTCAAGCATAAATTTTCAGTTTATTGAGCTAGAAAAATATTCAAACCACTGTATAACAAAATTTAGAAGTTTACCATTTTCAGAAAACTTACTAAATATTTTAATTTAAAAGATGGAAATAAGCAAATACATGTATACATTTTTCTCTGTAGTCCTTAAATCTCTAAATTAGATCAAACGGGTCCTTTGTTACCTGTGGTGAAAAAGTCCTTCAATAAGCTGAGGCTTTCAACAATCTTGTCAATGTCTGGTGCTAACTTTGCAAGGTCTTCTGAATTAGGAAGGGCTTTTCTAATTTTCTCTGAAGAAAACCAAAACACATAAATAGTCATCAACTGTCTCAAGAATATGACAGCTATTAATCTAAGGGCTATAAAAGTATTAATTTTCTTAATTCTCAAAGGAACTCTACAAAATTGCTACTATTGTCAACTCCATTTACAGATGAGATAATGGGGCATACAACAAGGAAGTAGGGGAGCCTGGGTTCAAGCCCAGGCAGGTTTGCTTCGGAATATAGGTTCTCTGGCCAATGTAGTGGGAGTAGCAAATGTATTATGTTGAAAAGTACCCCCCATGAATATTAGAAAAACAATTTGAAAGTGTGCTTTTCCAAAAATGCCTAGTCAACATATAACAGTTTTATTTTTAAGAAGTGCTGTGAACAAGTGCTTACAGAGATTAAAATTCCAACTCCATTTACAACTAAGACAAGAAATTAAGACAATGTCTTAAAAAGGAACTGAGGAAAAGAATTCAATAAAAATATTTTTTAAATCACCATGAGTTACTGATAATAGCTGATAAATATATTTTTTTCTCATCTACTTATTAAAAAGGGGAGAGGCAGTATCTGATTAGGAGGAGAAATCATTCTGAATACTGACAGACTTTTAAGGAACATGGCTAAAAGCAGAAAAGTTGTGTGGCAGAATGGAAATGCTGACAAAATGTGTTAAGTAGAAAAAACAAAAAGTACATGTCCTTATGACTGTATAATTTTTAAAAAGAAACTAAAATTCTAACCACATACAAATAAGTACAGTTAAAAGAAAATGTTTTCTATAAGGATGGTGGCAGCTGTGTTAAAGTGATGGACTACTAAATACTTTTATTTTTTTTTTAAAGAGAATATTTATTTTTAGTTTTCGGCGGACACAACATCTTTGTTTGTATGTGGTGCTGAGGATCGAACCCGGGCCGCACGCATGCTAGGCGAGCGCGCTACCACTTGAGCCACATCCCCAGCCCTAAATACTTTTTCATACAACTTTTTTCTTTGATATTCTATTGTTTTTATTGTTAAAAGAAAACTACTACATATTAAGACTCAAAACTTAAGAAACTACCTCAATAAACTATTTCTCTTTCCTAAAGAAATAACCATAAAAAATATTTTAATGTTAATGATACGAACCAATATCAATATACTCATCAATTTCCCATACAATGTCAGGCACAATCCATTTATAATCACTAAGGTCTGGTATCATATCTTTCCACTGATCAAAAGTCTAAAAGATAAGAAAGCATGTTAATCAGATTTTCTAAATACCATATAAAAAATGTAAAGAACAGTTATTTCAATTAAAACACATAAATCTATAAAGACCAATGTATTGTATAATGTACTAAGCTTTGAGAAACAAATTTACATGGCTTTAGCTCTTCTAAAAACAAATCAGTAGGCAAGCATACAAAACATGTAAATACTCCTCTACCAAATATAGAAAATAAAAAATTCAAAATATGTAACTATTTTAAGCTGACTTCATATTGGCATTAAACAACACCATGGAGAGCAGCAGGAAGATATATCAGGAGACTGGACACCTTCTCTCTGAACCCAGAGCTGCCAAGAAGTGGCCCTGTGAGCAAGCTACCTAACTTTCCCATCTAGGCTCAATATCAAACCTATATTTCTCACTCTCAGCTCAGGGACTTTCCTCTAGGCTTTTTTATCTCCTATAATTATAACTAAGATTCAGAAGGTACATTCCTTTCAGCATCATTAAAACAACCTGTTACATGGTAAAGACACACAATAAATGTTTACATCAATTACACTTAACCACACTAAAAAAAATGACTTAAAACTACAAAAATTCAAACTAATCATACTGGAATAATTGGAAAACCAGTAGGAAAGTTAAACTTACCTTTTTAGCTGTATAGCCACCTCCAACAGCAGATCCCAGTATAAGATATCGAAGTTTTAAGAGCCTTGCAGCTAACCGTGCTGGCCAAAAATTCCTGCAGGGCTGGTAGCCATATTTAATTGGAGAAAGTTTCAATTTACGTAAAGGAAGGTTTGTTAGAGAAGAGAACTGTTGAAATGATGTCCTTAATTGGGGTCTTTGAAACTTTAAGATAGGATAATGTGAACAATAAATACTTCGTGAAACCAGATGCAGTTTTTGGAGTGGTAAGCTTCCTTTTATTCCAGAGTTATGTTTCACCAAGGATTGGCAGACTTCACTGAAACAAAAAAGTACAGGGGTGGTAATGGCACAAAGGAAATAATATAACAAAGCAATATTATAAAGAAGAGACACATGCACATGTGACCAACCACAATGAGTCATAAAACTGTTGATATTTATTTGTTTATGTTGATATTTATTTATGTTATTTATGTTGATATTTATTTTGTTGAAGACAAAAATGCATGCAAAGTTTTGCTTTTAAGCACAAAAACTGTGGCAGTTTAAAAAAGTTATTCTTTTATCTACGTCTCCCAATTCTAAAATAGCCCAGGGATGGGTATTTTAAAAAATTATTCAGTCCCACCTAGGAACCTGGCCCCCAGAAAAACGAAAGTAGCAAAAAAGCCACCCCAATCTCCAAAAGAGAACAGAACCTACATGTACATGTTAACTATATGAGCTCTACCCTACTCTCCATCCAGAAGAGAATGAAAGGCTACCAAAAAGAACCACATGCCTGAGCTTAACACACATTCATAGTTGCTTACAAATGATCCGAGCCCAATTTTAAGTAGCTTTAAAATATTAATTCATTTAACTACATGGAACTTGAAACTTCTCAAGAAAAAGAAATTATGGAACATAAAAACAATGTTGTAAAGGATAATAGAAGGAAAGTGGAATCTCTCCTTCCTTCCTAAGTGCCAGACATCGTGCCAGATGCCAGTCATCTCCCCCCCCCACCCCCCCTCCGTTTTGGATATCAGGGATTGAACTCAAGGGCCCTTGACCACTGAGCCACATCTCCAGCCCTTTTTAGTATTTTACTTAGAGACAGGGTCTCACTGAGTTGAATAGTGCCTTGCTACGTTGCTGAGTCTGGTTTTGAACTCACCATCCTCCTGTCTCAGCTTCCCTAGCCACTGGGATAACAGGCCTGCACCACCATGCCAGTCATTTTTACAAATAATACTTACTGCTGGGTAACTCTTAGAAAAACCCAGTAAGCCAAGTACCTTCTTTCACAAATTTGCTTTTTAAAACTATGTCTTGCTTAAGGTAGAATGAGTAGTAAATGGTGGAAAAGGATTGAAAGTAGGTTCAGCCCAACAATAAAGCCCAAATTCTTTCCACAACAGACACTGGTAAGCAAGAATGTGAAAAGCAGTAGATGCATAGATGCCCCAGATAGGAGGCTGCGATAACATTTTTTTGGGGGGTGGGGGGAGAACACGTAAATTTTTTAGGGTGTGGTATGAATTTTCAGGAAGAAAATGTCATTACATTTAGGTATTGGTACACTTTAGCTCAGAATCATTAAAAATATGTGTTTCACCATTATATAATATGGAAATGAGTCTTATTTTCCTCTATGGGTGAAGATTATATATAGTATTGTCCTTGTGAGAGAGAATGAGTGCCTCCACTGGTTCCTCTTTGTACCCAGGGACTGAGACCTAGTCCTTCAGATCAGGGTGGTTTGGGGGAGTTACCTTGTGTTGTCAAATGAATCAGGTTCAGCCTTGCAAGTCAGGCATCTACCTGAATGCATAATGATGATAGAGGGGAAGCATAGGAGGAATGGAGGAACTTTAGATAGGGCAAAGGGGTGGAAGGGGAAGGGAGGGGGCAAGGGGGTAGGAATGATGGTGGAATGAGTTAGATATCATTACCCTAAGTACATGTATAAAGACACGAATGGTGTGAAAATACTTTGTGTACAATCAGTGACTTAAAAAATTGTTCTCTATATGTGTAATATGAAATGAATTGCATTCTGCCATCATGTGTAACAAATTAGAATAAATAATAAAAAATTCAAATTAAAAAAATATATAATCTGGGAAATTGAGATGTGTTTATTAGTGACTCACAGGCCATGGCTAACCTATATCACAAATAACTTTAAGAGACTGCAACAGTGACCAGAAAATGACCTCTACTTTACTGTAATGCTAACATATCCAACCAGGAATAAGTTGAGCCTAATTTTCATAGCCTATGGTGTATGCTAAAGCACTCTTTTAAGAATCACTCATGTGTAACCAAGGCAGTGACATTTTGAAGTATTTGCTGCCACCTCTGAAACTGTCAGGATGACAGAGTCTTGCTCTGATTTGAGATTCTATAGGAAATCTCAAACTCAGAAAAACTGAGGAAAAATAGAGTTTAATAGTAGGAGAAAATACATATTGCCAGATCAGGCACACTGCTTATTTGTAATTATACATGTAATTGTTACTTCTGATCACAAAAACTTTCTTTATAAAAGTTGGCAATCATTTTGTATTTTAAAAAATAAAAAAGCTCTGTCTCAAAATAAACCATAATTTCCACTGTCTTGTAAATATAAGTCCCTGTCTTCTTTTATCAATCAAGAGATTAAATTCTTCTGACATTAGACTCTGCATATCTATAAAGCAAAACTTCATCTTAGCTTCATATTGCTTCTACCCCAACAATCATTAACTATAAAAATTAAAGACAAAACAAATCCTTCAAATCAAAGGCATAGTTAAGTGGTACAAGAGTTAAGTTTCTGAGAAGAATTAGTCTAGACAGTAATTAAAGAAAGTATGATAACAGTGTTAGTTAAAAGTGTATCAGGAGGGAAGTGAAGAGGTGGCCTGATTTCAGTTGTACCCACTGCATCTACACCATCCTCTTCTTTCTTCCCATGTTAGATTACATCAAATGCTCCTCTTCCCATTGAAGGTAAATCCCTAAAAGGTATTCTTGCCCTATCCTTTCAGTTCCTCTCATCTTAATGAGGAAATCAAAACCTCCTAAACCAAACTACTTTATTAAAAGCTAAACCAACCTGGTTTTCACTTCTACCATTCAATGAAACAACTTTTACTTAGGACACCAAGACTTCCAAAAGGCATTTTCTCCTAGTTTTTTCAGCAATGTGAGACAATCTTAACACTTCCTCATTGTTGGAACTTCCTGTTACTTGGCAGTCTCTAATTTTACCCCTATCTAACTGGCCATTCCTTTTCAGTCTCTTCCTCAACTACCTTTTAAATGCTAGGAGTTTGTTTAAGTCTTAGATCCAACCTACTTCTCTTTTAACTTTCCCTAGGCAATCCTATCTACATCCACTTCCTCAATTACCATCACATACTCATGTTTCTCAAGTTTTTGTCTAATACAAATAGGTAAGTTCCGGTTGCTTGTATTGAATTGCCTACTCAAAGTCACCACTTAGGGATCAAAAAGGTACCTTAAATTCAATATGTCCAAAATCTTGGACATTGACATCTCTCCCATCCTCCTAAATCCTGACACTTCTACAGTATTTCCTATCTCTGAAAATGGTATAAGCAGCCATCTACTTAATTAGTCAGAGTTGAAGATCCCTTTTTGATACATATTTTTATCCTTACCATTACCAAAGCACTCTCCTGAACTCAAATCTGGTCATTATCATACACCTGCATCCATCTATTAAATGGATCCCCTGCATTTAGAATAAAATCCAAACTGCTGGTCTATAATGCCCTCCATAGTATGGTCTCTGTCTCATTCACTTGCCTCAAAGCTCCACCCAGACTAATTTTCATCTAATTCTTCAATGTGCTATTCTCCTTCCCATCTTAAGACCATGAGACCCGCTATCTACTTGACTCTTGCTACTTACTGATCACAGTTTCACCTCCAGCGTTCCCTCCCTTCCCCTGAGCCTTCATTATAATGTGAGTCCCCCTGCTACAGCTCTTTCTGTACTTTTCCTTCATAGCATTTATAAATAACTACATAATAATGTAGTTATTGGATTAATATTGGTCTCTACCAGTAAACTAAAATCTACCAGAAACAGCCTCTTGGCTGTTTACCACTATATTTCTATGGTCCTCACTGCCTCACAAAGATAGACACTCAATAACCTGCTGCATGAACACAGGTTATTGGAATAATTAAATTACAAAAAAACAGGCCAAAGAACCTAGCAAATGCTAGCAGAGTAAGCGCTCAATAACATCACTTCAACATAATTTGCACTAAACTTCACTACTGTATAACTCCTTAACCTTTGAAAAGTCATTTGCATTTCTTATAAAGGAGTTAATCCAAATATATACCCACCAAGATGAACTCCAGTACTGAGTTCATACCTAGGATGTTTTTGCTTTTCATTATTTTCTCACAAATTTCTAAAATTTCTATTTCGACAATGATGGCACTAATAACTATGGGTGAGAGATAGGGACAGGGATAGAGTATTCAAGTATTTCAGTTCAGTAATTACAAATGAAATGTTCATCAATTAGTTCTCTGGAAGAGATAACAGACTTTATGCAAATCCTAATACTTAAAAAGACATCCTCAAGAATTACTTCTAGAGCTTCCAATTCAAAAGATAAATGTTCATACAGGAGGGGATTGCTTTTTACAACAAGATTCTCTTGAGATACAGTGGGAAAAAAAGAGAAGCAACTGAGATTTACTGAAGCACTAACTGTGGAGAAGGATGTATGGGTCACCCTCTAGTCCATTCCAATCCAGCCAAATGTTAGCTACACTAGTTGCCCCAAGGCTGAGAATCTGTCAGAGAAGAAGGGACGAGCTAAGTCCATGCATGCATGTATGTGGGAACTTCCCAGAGTGAGCCTCTAATAGTATTAGTATATGTAACAAGTTCAGGTCACCCCTTTACTCCCTAAAATGAAGCCTGCAAGTTGATATATCAGATATCTAAAACATAGTTTGTTCAAAGCTCTCTCATTCAGGGGTATCCTGCACTGGCATCTATACCAATTATTGCCCATCAGGTTTAAATATAATTTAGGTAACAGACTCTAGAAAACCAGCAACTCTTAAGATGAGGACTAAGATGTCATTATTAGTCCTGGAAAAAGAACAGATATGAAATCCTTATTAGGATTTTCAGGAAGATCTGTGAAAATATTACAGACATAAATAAGAGAATGTTGTTATTCAAAAACTATTTTTTAAAAATAGCAAAGAACATCAGAAAGCTTACTGAATTAAACATGCTTTTAAGAGTCAAAAAGAGCTTAAATACTAAAAAGGTAGTTCGTGGAGATTAAAGTTGCAATGGCCAATATATTTTTAAAAAATCAAAACCAATAATGGAAAATAAATTAAGGAAATCCCCTAGAATGTTGAATAAAGAAAAAAATCAGGAAAACACTAGAGAAAAGTTAAGTGATATAAAGAAGAGATATGCAAAGAGGGTGAGAGAATGGGGTGAAAGCATCCACTAGGTTCTGGAAGAAAGTATCAAAGCTTCTGGCTGCAGTCTTTTTTTGTATACTATCCTTCAAGTTAAGATCAACTTATAATGTAAAGATATATATAAAATGTAGAGACACACACATACATAAAGATGAATGTGTAGTGTACATCCACATATTAGAGTACATGCATTTTTTTTTTTTTTAACAGATAAAGGATACAGACCATAATTTGGAAATCATGGACACACAGGATCAACTTAAGAGGACTAATAGTCATTTTAAAAGTGCCTAGAAAGAAAAGAACAGGAAAAAAAGAAATAAGGAAAAAAATTTCCCAAAACCAAAGGAAGATAATGGTCTATTTCACAAAAAGGCCCATTGAGTGCCAAGCCAGTTGGTGGTGAAAAAGGAAACCTATATCTGAACAAAAGCCCTGAGAAATTTGAGAGTATATAGTGGAGATCCTAAAAACTTCCATGAAGGGAAAAAGAGACTGCTATATGCAAACAAAACTAAAAATCAAAAGTGATGCAAAATAGACTCCCTACTCCAAGAAGTCATCTACTTTCTTGCCTATCTATCATCTCTTTTAAAACAACAATTGCAAATATATAGTTTTCATTAATTTTTCATAAATATTGCACCCAAATAAATGCTGGTCATTGGTCTTCTCACAAGTCCATGAGCATGTGTTTATATATGTATGTCAAAAATGTTTAGGTTCCCACCTGTTAAAAAGTAGGAATTTAACTGTACTCCTTCATAATATGCAAAGGAACTATTAGCAAAAGACAAATTCCACAGTTTAAGTTTTCTGACTTTCCACAGCTCCATTTCTTCTGGTAGCTAAAATGTGCTGTCATCACAGGACATTTTTAAGCCAAGACTCTATGACATCCATAATAACTTTAGAAACAACTTAGTCCAACAACACCCAGTTGAATAAAGCAAAAAGTACCAGTTATAAATTAGTTTGTCTTTAAATTCAATTTTGAAAATTTTTCCTACACATCTTAATTGCTCCAGAGTATGCTGTTTTTTGCAGTCTCTTCTTTTTTATTTAAATAGATGTTTCCCCATTAAATAATGAGAAGTAGAAATACGAAGTGTGCAAATAACTTACTTTGGTGCCAAGGACTGAACTTACTCAAAAATTAAAATTCTATAGGATTAAAAATAACTATGCAATTATTCTAATTGACTAACACTGTAAGTTCTGCATTTGCACTTCAGTTAACTTTCAAAAAACGAATGGATTGTATTCCTTATAAACACTGTAAATTATCTACACCATTAAAAAAGTTCTGAGAAAAATTCAAGGCCGGTGTTTACAGGTGGAGTTAAGAGGAAAACTTTTAGAGATGGAAAACTAATATTTTTTTTCAATCTTGCTTGATGCATATTCCTTCCTATTAAATGCCTTCAACAATAAGTATGAAAGTTATCTAAGGTTATTAGAACAAATTATATAAAAAAGATAAAATCAATTAATATGCTTAGTATGCATATAGTAATCCACAAAAATGAATAGATTTCTATGATTTCCTATGTAGGAGTTAAACAGGCCAGAACAACAATGACTGTATAATTTGAAAGGTAGCGCAACATTCGCTTCTTTTGCTTTAAAATGCAAGTCTCAAGTCTCTTCCTTAAACACTGTGAAAATGCTTCTTCGAAGATGGCATCTCTAAATACCATCTCTGACACCATGTGCGTCACTGTTCTAGATCTGACTCCCAATAGAGGGTTAGGCAAACAGGCAGAGGCCCTTTCGCCCTGCAGAAAAGCCTAAGAACTACAGGTGTAAATGTACACATGGCATGGAGATGGAAGCAAAGGCAATTAGGGAAAGCGCACAGAAGGCCATACATGGACAAAGCCAGAACAGACATGGAGAGAATTTGAAAAAGAAACAAGTGAAGGCAGAGATAACAGCGAGGTCACAAAGGTGTAAAGGACAGCGACAAAAGGACAACAGAGAAGGGCCAAGACAGGCGTCCTGAGTCTTCAAGCTGGTCAGGGACGACGGTCGAAACCGAAGCCAGCCAGCTCCGCAGATAAGCCTAGTCAGAGCTCCTGTAACTCGGGTCCTCAAAAATATCGGGGAATTCTCCAACCGCCCTCGGCTTGAACAAGGCGTTCTCTGCACATTCTGGACGTAGTGATGGGACAATCCTGGCCCTGAAATACCGGGGCCAGGTTGGAGCCCGCACTTACCAGGCCACGGCGACCCGACGCATTCGCCACATCTCTCCGGCGTAGAGGTCACCCAAGCGCCGAGACGGCCTCGCGGGAGCCCCCGTGTCAGCCCCAGTGCGGCTCTTGATCTAAGAATGACCCAGGAAGAGGCCTCGGTAACAAGGGCACTGAGAAGCCGCTGAGGCCCTCCCAATGGCGCATGGACTTCCGCAAGAGCCTGCCTGGCACCCGTATTCAGTCCGTCACTGAAACCACCACTCCGCCCATCCTAGGGAAGCAGCACGAACAGTCCGCGGGGCCTGACGCATGCGCCCACAGCCTGTAGGCGGGAGCCGTGTACTTGGCCTCTCCCCACATCCCCGCCCTGCCCTCGTACTTTCTGGGTTGAAAGGCTTGGAGAGGGAACGAGAGTGGGGCGTAGTAAAGGGCATGAAATCCGTGTTGGTAAATGCTCACTGTGTGCAACCAATTAGTAAGTGTTGGGTATTAAGGAAAAATAAAGGAGCCCAGAGACTACAAAATGAATATAATAGAGTAATTGAATAGAATAATAAAAATTAGCAATTGCCCCTTCGCCCTACTTTTGTAGCCCTTCTTTGTTTAAAAGCACTTTCATATCCTTGAAACAATCTTGGGAAGCATGAGGAGGAATCATGAATAAGTTAAGTGAATTAGAATCTCTGAGATTTGAAGGGGACTCAGGTCATTAGGCCAGCTCTAGGTTTGAAATAAGAGTGTGTGTTTTAAAAAGGCATCAAAAATGACTTTGTTCATTTATTATCTAGCTGGCTTTCACCTGAATTCTAATTCCACTAATTTGTTGAAATGGCCCTTGTCAAGGTTTCCAACAGTTCCATGTTGTTAGTGCTTAGTTACCTTGGAGCAACATCAGCTGAGCACTCTATGGTTAACCTGCATTTCTGTTTGGGCTTTCAGGACACCATATTCTCTTTTTCCTCCAAGAGCAACTAATTACTAGTCTCCTTTTGCTGTCTAAATTCTCTAACAAATTTCTCAATGTTGGAAAGTCCAGGATCTTGGACATTCTGATTCCCTTCCTTTATCTACTTTCTCTTCCTAGGTAATTTAAGTCCGTTGCTCTTTGAAAGTTTATATTTTATGAGAAAGTGTCCTGTGAAGGATTATGAAGCCAATTCGTGAAATTAACCAGGCTTCAAATTAAAGGGTTTTCTGCCCTGTCTTCATTTCAAGGGCAAATTCCCCTCACCCGTTCATGTACACAAAACATATAAAGAAAATTTCTTTCCCTTTAATTGTCAGAGTCATAAATCCAGATTCATCCACTCATAATCTTATCAAGCATAAACCCTTAAGACCTAGGAGTCATGAAATAGTTTTACTATTTTACACTGAATTCTCAATTTCAGCTTGGAATTATGCAATCCACCAGCTAAAATTCTCAAAGCATTTATCTTGACATGCAAGACAAAAGTTTTTAGAGTTAACCAATAAATTACAAATCTTCAGAAAGGAAGCTAAAGAGATGTTAATGGAAACTGAAGTGTTTTCATTTGTTACCATAAAATATGTATTTAAATTTTTACAAGTTTTTTTTCCCCAAGTTCTCCATCAAACTTATCTATGTTCCCTGATACTGCACTCTTTCTCTGTGATTTCCTGGAAAAATAAACAGCTGAAATAACATATTTGCACCGTCATCATTATCAAACTCTCTCCAGTGCTCAGAAAAGCACATTACAATGTTCATGGACATTTATTAACCACTTGCTATAAACTTGGTCTGTGGATATAGAAGAGTAGAATATAGTTCCTGTCCTCTACTGACCGTGATCTGGTTAGAGAGATATACATATGTAAAAATATAATAACAATGTCAAGTAGTACATGCTGAAGACCAAGAAAGATTAAAGGCAGGATCTGTTAGATAGGAACATATTGTAATCAAGTGGGCTTAAGAAAGATCATTCTGGAAAAACAGAAAACAATGAATTTGTAAAGAAGGCGATTGAAAGTCACCAAGACTAGATAGGGAACTATTGAGAAAGTCAAGTGTGAAAGGTCTGAACTAAAGTCTGACAGTGGGGAGAGGGGAGAGATCATTTTGAAGGATATTTGTGAGTATTTAAAGCAATGGAAACTTTAATGCAGGAATTAAGGGAAGGAATCAAGGATGACTGAAGTTTCAAACATCAGTGAATCATACTAGTGACAGTCACAGAAATAGACAAGCAGAATACAAAGAGGGTATGGAGGGGATGTTAATGCTGGCTTTGGATTGATGACTAACGCTGAGTTATTAATGCACTATTGTAGGTAGAAAAACCTACGAGGCAGTTATAAATTAAGCCCTGGAATTCTAGAAGGCAAGGCTTGCAATACAAATTTGAGTTGCATTTATAAAGTCAAAGCTGTGGGTCAGATTAACCATTGCAAAATTGTGCATGGATGTGGAATTGTATGCAGATAATTAAATCAATATTATTTAGTGATTTTTTTGTGTGTGTGTATATATTGTCTGTGTGTGTGTGTGTGTTATATGTATATAGAGAGAGGTATAGGTGGGAAGGGTTTTTATTTGGAGATAGGGTTTTACTACATCACCCAGGCTGCTCTCCCAACTCCTGGGCCCATGTGGCCCTCCTATTTCAGTCTCCCATGTAACTAGGACCACAGGCATGTATCACTGTTCCTGGCTTGATGATTCTATTTTTAATACTAAATGTATTATATGCAGTGAAGCAAGGCAAGAAAAAGTATAAGCCTAACATTTTTCAATGATAGTTTGCATAAGAAATCAATAAAAAATAATAAGAAATAGTGAGGGAGTTTTTTTTTTTTGGAATACAAAACCAAAATAAAAAATGCTTTTTCTACATATCACCTGTGTAGACACCAGGTCTTAATCCTTGAAATATGTAAATGTTACATTATTTGGAAAAAGGATCTTTGCAAATGTAATTAAACTAAAGATCTTAAGTCAGGGAGATTTTCCTAGGTTATCCGGTAGCCCCAAATGCAATCACAAAGAAGGCCATACAAAGCACAGGGAGCAATTGGTTGCAAGCAGAAGCCAAGGAATGCCAGCAGCCACCAGAAGATGGAAAAGGCAAATGACAAATTCTCCCTAGAGCTTCTAGAGGGAGTACAGCCCTACTGATACCTTAGTTTCAGCCAAGTGATACCGATTGCGGCCTTCTGAACTCCCAAACTATGAGAAAATAAATCTCTATTGTTTTAATCATTCCCAGCTTGCAGTCTTTTGTTATAGCAGGCCCTGGAAAGGACTAAAAACTGAAAATTAAATGAAAAATATTCCATTCTGAGTAGCATTAAAAAAATAAGTAGCCAAAAATTGCATTAAAAAATGTGCATAAACGTCTACGCAGAAGACTAGAAAACACAGATGAGAGAAACCCAGGAAGACAAATGGAGAGATATACTGTGTTCAATCAGTATTGTTAAGATACCAATTTTGAGGCTGGGTACAGTGACACTCACTTGTAATCCCTGCAGCTCGGGAGGCTGAGGCAGGAGGATTGTGTTCAAAGCCAGTGTCAGCAACTTAGAGAGGCCCTAAGCAACTAAGTGAGACCCTATCTCTGAATAAAATTTAAAAAGGGGGGGGGGGGCTGGGGATGTTGCTTAGTGGTTAGGTACCCTTGGATTTAATTCCAGAACCAAAAAAAAAACCAACCAATTTTTCCCATTCTCAACACATTCCTGACAGACATTTATTGTAGAAATCATAAAATATTCTAAAATTTTTATAGCAATACAAAAGCCTACAATATAAAAATGCAAAGCTATACCATTTATAAATACCTACAACATTTACCATTAAAACAATTGTAATTGGGACACTGTGACATTGACATAAGGACAAATAGATAAATGGACCAGAGTACAAGATTCAGAAATAGACCTCAACCTGTGTACTTAATCGGTTTTTGACAAAAGCATCAAAGTAATTCAATGGAGAAAGAAGTATTTTTAATGAATGGGGGCAGGGATAACTGAATACTCTTATGGGAAAATACACCATACACATAGTACCTGCAAAATCTTGTATATATATATATACCATGCACAAAAATTAGTATATATACATAAAAATTAATTATAGACTGGAACATAGCCAGTAAAACAAAGTACAAAGCTTACTGAAGAAAATAACTTTGCAACTTTGGAGAAGGCAAATATTTCTTAGGCCATTGAAAGTAATATTATAAAATTTAAAAATTCATTAATTAGAATTAATTCATTAATTCTTAATCAAATTAAAAATCCTGCTCACCAAATAACACCATTAAGAAAATAAATAGACAAAGCTCAAATTTGGAGAAAATATTCTTAGAATACATATCTGAAAAAGGACTCATACCAAGGACATATAAGAAATTGTTTGGTATGATTTAGATTATGACTCATGTGTGTTCTCCAAATGCCCTTGTGTTTAAATTTAATCCCCATCTTGAGATATTAAGAGGGTGAAAACTCAATGTAATTACAGTGCTTGGAGGTGGGGACTTTGGGAAGTGATAAGATTAGACAAGTTCATGATTGAATACTGGTGGTGTTGGAGAGAAAGAGAGAGAGAGAGAGAGAGAGAGAGAGAGAGAGAGAGAGAGAGAGAGAGAGAGAGAAATCTTTGGAGATGCACATGCTTGCTCCCTATCTCATGTCATGTGATAGCCTGCACTGCCTTAGGACTCTTCCATGAAGAAGATCACTGGATGTAGCACCTGAACCTTGGATCAGAACTAGGAACCAACACAACTTCTTTTCCTTATAAAATTAGCCTCCCTCAGGAATTTCCTTATAGTAATGAAAAATGGGCTAGTACATTCTTACAAATCAGTAATATGATAAACAACTCAATTAAAAAATAGACAAGAAGTTCAGATATTGCACCAATGAGAAAACACACACACACACACACATACACACACACACACTGCCAAAGAACATAAAACACTCAATATTCAATATTATTAGTCATCAGGGAAATTAACATTAAAAGCACATCTTCACTAAATTTTCTAAAACTAAAAAGACTAACTATATCAATTTTTCCCAGCATGTGGGAAAAACTAGCACCATCAGGCACTATTTGTAGGAATGTAAAACGATACAACCAATTTGGAAAAATATTTGACAATTTGTTTAAATTAAGTTAAACATTCACTCCCTCTTAGGTCAGGCAATTCTAATCCTAAGGACTTATCTAAGAGAAACAAAAACATGTTCACAGCAACTTGGGAGGCTAAGGTAGGAAG